TCGACAACTCGCAAACGCTGAGGCCAATTGACAAATGCTAATTATTTTTTCACTGGTAGTTTTATTGGTGACGCAGATAAGTACACAGGATGTTTATGAGATTCCTTGATGGCGGCTGTGTTCTGAGGAGTATCCGCCCAGGAAGTTACACATCTAAAACGTATATATGTATGTCTGTCATTATCTGCACGTGACTATATTTCTTCAACATGTCCACAGTGACTTGAGACATGCAGGTGGAATTACAATGATCGCATTACGGCCAATTGGGATGGGTTCCTTATAATCCTTCCTGCTAGTTAAAGAATAATGTCATAATATAAACTGAGAAATATACAGTCTTGTGCAGGATATGATAAGAGTACTGTACATGTCTTGCATGTGAACCTCCTTGATGGGACTCCACAAACACATACGTAAAAGGTCTTCATAAAATTCTTATTTCGCTCTAATCGGTAAATAATATGTTTTTTTTTCCTCTCTTCTTTTATTTCTAAAGGACTTCATTTACTTAAGTTAATTTATGTTATACTTTGCAGAGTCAGTACTACTAAATCAAGCTACACTAAAGCGAGGAATATTGCTTGACTGTGTTGCAGCTTTTTGGGTGATTGTATTTCTTAATGCATAATAATAACATAATATACAATATATATTTTAAAAAAGGAGAGAAATGGTAAAGAAGGAAAGAGAACAAGTGAGGAATTTAGCAGAGAGAGAGAGAGAGAGAGCACTAGTCATAGAGGCGCCCCTCCTCCCAGCCCTGGCCAGCCAGCCTGTCAGAGGGGCGGTGGAGTGCCGGGTGTAACTGAGGTGTGTGTCGGCAGGTAAAGCGTTCCGGCAGCGAGTGTCTTACCTCGTCCACCAGAGGATCCACACCGGCGTGATGCCCTACACTTGTGACGTCTGCGGCAGGTCCTTCAGGTACAAGGTAGGTGTCGCTGATCCCCAGAGTCCTCTAGAGCGACAGCAGAAGGTCCCACCAGGTCCTGAAAAAAAAATATCATCAGGGAGAGACTTCTTGTACAGGGAGTTCGGGGCCCTTCTTCCAGCCCAACCAAATTCTCTACCTAAACAACGCTTCAGTAATTTAATTTTCGTTTGATTTATTAGTTTGGGAATTTTCAGTTCTAATAATTCTCTGTTGAACTTCTAAAACTAATAATTAAATTTTCTGAGATATTCGCATTTTTTGTTGGCATTTAACACCATAACAGTGTACTGTAGGGCAATGCGACTGAATTGCAAAACTTTCCATCAACACTATTCGACATAACACTGTTGTTTACCCTTATAGCAGCCTCTCATTGTCTGCAGTAATGTGGGGATATAACTGTATACTGAATAAATATGTTTAAAAATATCCGTCGACAATCACGTTAAATATCATGAAAAACAATGGAATTTGTTATTCATTCCAATAGATAAATGTATCGGGTTTTTATCTTTTTTCAGGTGAGTCTGCGTTCCCATAAGTGTGAGCCAAACATAGCGACCACGTCAGGGGGGAGCTCCACCCCCACGCGCAAAGACGGGGACAACCGCGTCGACGCCTGCAAGAACCTCAACACGGGTACTAGTGGTACTCCTCCGCCCACGCCTGCCGCGGCTTCCACGCCCCCACATTTCGCCCACACGCCCACGACTACACCACAAACTACGGTAACCACCCTCGATAGGCGTCAACCGTCCCTTTATTTACTTACGAATAAGTTTAGCCCATTTTCTTTCCTAAATGGTGTTGTGTAAAGGTAGCTGGTGAATGTCTCGCAGAGGGATTTTTATATCAATTTGGACATAAATTCTGTATCTTAACTCAAATGAACCAAGTAAGAGCTTTCTTACATACTCAACTACGGAACTTTGAGAACCTGGACCAAGTGAGTTGTTTGATCCGACTTGTTCCAATAAGTGGCATATTCAGGATGTTGTTTCATGAAGGCGGACTAGCAGCCAAGTTGTACCCCCTCTCTTGTAAATATTGGTGAGGAGAAACACCTGTGTTTATGGTCTTCAACGAGAGTTGTAAATGAATGTTGTGTTTTGTAGATCTAGCAATTAAGGGTGACAAGGATATTACTTAAGACCAGGAATATTAAAATTAGAGATAATAATGCCAGGTTCATCCTCAGGTTGGGGTTGTGTCCCCAAATTGTGGCGGAGTAGTGAGCAGGGACGGTGAGTCCCCCCTACTGGTGGGGGGCGGGGCGGGGGAGGCGGATCCCCCAGGCGTGCCCACACCCCCTCATCACCAACAACAACAACAAATCAACAACAGCAGGATGAAAATGCCCCTAGAGACGATCGACCTGGCAGCCATCTCGTGTGAGAGTGTTGGGTCCCAACATGATGGCGGCAAGCGATCACCCCACAAGAGCAGGTCCTCCTCCCACGCCCCTAAGATCTCATCTAGCAATAGTGGGGGATCTCAGGACCCCCTCTCTATGGCCTTCCTGCACGCCCTTGTAGATCCCCAGCAGGTCCGTCTACAGGGGGAGTGTCGGCCCCACGCGCCTCTCCCCCAGGACACTCTGCCCTTCCCCAGCCTCTCCCCGGGGGCCATGGACGCTGACATGGATCACGACAGTTTTCTTACTAACCTCCTGATGTGATGAATGTGTCTTTTAGTTCCGTATAGCCATTAACAAGGTACAAATTAATCTATTTTCGTTATTTTTTATTTTCTAGTATTTAAGCAACGATATCAATATATAATAAACAATAATATACAGTTAGAGAAAACTAATGAAGTCAACCCCGCATGATTCGTCCTTCGTGCCAAGTTTCTTTTTTCCCATATGTATTTGGTAAGGGAGAACTATACCATACAAATTTCCCAGACGTTTATACGTACAAAGACTAAAATAATAACAACACAACGAAGGAGAACATACAGTACAAAAACATTAACCTTAGCCAAAATATTAAACAGACTCAAATGAGGATGGGACCACTGTATGTATTAACTGAAAAGTCACAAGGCAAGTCACTGAAACCCGAATAAAGGTAAACTTAAACAACAACAATTATGAGAAACAAGACGACCTGTGTTGGAGGAATACTGAGAAAGAATAAGACAACATATACTGGAGAAATACTGAGAGAAAATAAGACGACCTGTGTTGGAAGAATACCGAGAGAATAAGACGACCTATGTTGGAAGAATTACTAAGAGAAGGACTCGCTACCTTCACCTCTTACCACTTGTTAACTTAACCAATATTAGATCATTATGCCTTGACCAATTTACATCACAAGTCAACAAAGTCCCTGCATAATGTGACACTTAAACCTACTCACCACTATACTGCTCTGAGACGAAGTAAGGAGGTTAAACAAATTGCAACAACCAAAACAATAACAACAACAATAATCAGCCGAATACACGTGACTAACATAATTTTTATGTGATTTTTGTATATAGAGTTTTATAAATATATGTTTAACACGATGCTTGTTTTAATGACCTGTTTATAGCCTTATGAAGGATAAGTTTACTGTATGTATGTATGTATGTATGTAACAATTAAATTACAAACTAAATTTTAAAAAATATACATAAATATATAATTCATTCATACACACACATACACGCAGATAACAAGTAGACCCTCGTTCTTCTTAATACACTTTTCAGTAAAGAAGAAGACAGGAGTATCCTTTCAATAGAGTATCTTCCAAGGAACCAAGCATTTGTTTCATCCCAGGCGGGGTCAACGAGAGAGAGAGTCAGCCCTGACACCCATCGGCACTTTTATACCACCAGCTCACACAACTTCTCATAAAAAAAAAACCTGGTGGCTTTCCTTTAAACTTGTAACCTCGAACCTTAAACTTTCTTAAACTTTCACTCAAAAATTTTATTCACACACATATATAACTTTTGGGTCAGTTAACGATAAGAAGCAATTATGACTCCTCCAGAGGCAGATCCAGGGATGTAAAAAACAGGGAGGAGGGGGGTCCAAGAAGTTGTGGGTGGGGGGAACACGGTGAGCACGGCCAGCTTATCCAGCAGGGGGGGTTTTGGGGGTGCGTTGTATCCTCCCCGCCTTCTTCGTCTTGTACACTTCCCATCTGTATATTAATATCAAGTCAAAAGCTTCTCCTGTACATCCCCATCTTTGCTTAGCTTTATACACCTCTTTCTCTCTCTCTCTCTCCATCCCTTCTTTAATGTACCTGTTAGTTTTGTTTCCCTTTGCTTCTCTGTGGTTCAGTTCATAACTCTTGTAGTGTTAACGTTATGACGTCTTGCACTCAGGATGGGCTGGAGAAGGGAAACTCTTAATGGTGGCTTTCTTATATAAATATATTATATACAAAACAGTCTTGTGCTGGAAAGTTGCTGCGTGGTAGAGGAGTTGCTGTGCAGGAGCTTCTTAAGAGGAGGTGTTGGGTGTTGCAGGGCTCTAGGTAGAATGGATTTCACGGCGAGGCTGTGAGCTTATATACACGTCCACCGGAAGTAAAACCGGGAGTAAGTGTCGCCGGTGTCGACCCCCCCCCCCTTGTCTAGATGGCTAGGCTTGTCAGAGAAACTTCGTCGCGGGATCGGCTGATCAGCGACTAATGGCAATGGCAGTTGTAGGGGAGAGTATCCACTACACTCTGTTCAATTTAAGATATCTTAAACACTCCACTTCTGCTCATCTATACTCATTCAAGCTAACATTTATTTCTCTTGTCTTCACTTACTTTCAGCATTTTCCTTTGTTCACATTCACTCTCAACTTACTCCTTGTATACACTCCTCCTAACTCATGTGCTAACATTTGTAACTTCACTTAATCATCTATCAAAGCTGTGTCTTCTCTCAGAACCTGTGAGATGTACTGTAGTACTGTGTTATTTTACACTAAATTGGGGATTTATGAAGACAAGAAGTTTGGCAATAAAAATGAAAACATAGTTGACTGCTCTTTGGTCATTGGATGCATTACTGGTCTCAATTGGTGAGGTCCTGGCCAACAGTGTGTAACAGAGAAGAGACCAACCACCCAAGCAACGAACAAGCTGATCAGTAGCAAAGAAGGTAAAATAAAGCAAATTAATGGAGGGATCCTACACAGGCTACTGGCCTCCATGCCAAGGGAAAGGAGTCCTTTCCCTTGGCATGGCTACCTCTTAGTTTGGTGGCCATTGGGTAAATAAGGTAGGTAAAATATGATGCCCAATTCCCACTCTCTGTAAAATTGCGTTCGCAATACTTTTTACTTTTATGCTCTTCAGCACTGATCGGCTCGTTAGCCGCTTGGGCGATCGGTCACATCTCTGATTACTTTTCCTTTTCTTTTATCCTCTTCACCAAATGATCGGCTCATTAGCCGCTTGGGCGATCGGTCACATCTCTGTTATGCACTGTTGGCAAGTACTGGGCATGCACTGGCTCCTGAATGTACCTGAACCTGCTCCAGTGTTGGTCAAGTCTTGTCTTGAAAGAGCTCGCACTCGGTGCCGTCACAACACTCTCTGGTAGATTGTTCCAAGAGTTTACAACCCTCACTCCGAAAAAGTTTGCCCTCACAGTTTTCTGGACTTGCCGCTTCTTCAATCTTGAGCTGTGACCCCTTGTGGGGCGAGCGTCCGCCAGCTCCAAGTAAGGACACTCGACTGAGTAGGGCCTCTTGAACTGCTTATACACCTCAACCAGGTCACCCCTCGCCCGTCTGTAGTATAAGCTAGGCAAGTTCAGGCGCTCCAATCTCTCAGGGTAGCCGAGGTGCCGAAGTGCAGGCACCAGTCTGGTGGCCCTATATAGGATGGGTATCTAGCCATAAAACTTGCTTCAGATTTGCCTGATGGCAACCCGGACACCAGGCTATCAAGTAATCATGGCTAACCCATGCAAGTAAGAAAAACAGCTGTAAAACAGTGATGATGATGATTATGCTAATAATTGACAAGTCACAGTACAGTATAAAATTTACTACAATCAAGTCTACAAGTAGATTCAAACGAAGACTGAAATATTAGACTTTACCCCGAAACTGATATTCAGCTGATTTTTGGGCTGAACCCCAGTAGTGATGGCCCTGCCTGAGTCCCCCTATCTTGTGACGGGCCTGTATGAACAACCCCCTAGTGACGGGCCTGTATGAACAATCCCCTAGTGATGGGCCTGTATGAACAACCCTCTAGTGATGGGCCTATACCACCTCCCCCCTTGTGACAGGCTTGTATGAACCCTCTTCTAATAATGGGTCTATACATGTACAGCACTGAGAAAAGTTATTTTATTAATCTTGGATGTCTAAAATTCTGGATATTACACACTTTATGGCTTTGACAGGAAGACTGAAACACAACATCTTCACTTTATTTTATTATATCATAATTTCTGGTAATTAGTGTAGGTCATTTTCTAGTTTATATACCAGAGCAACATTACATATCATATTCAGTGTAAATACCGTAAGTATATTTTCTAAAGACATGTGTCAGAATTAAGGAATATGAAGACTTACAGTGTATTGAAAAGTAAACTGCCGCAGTTGTCATACCTAACTAGGTGTTATATTACATCTATGAGAATACAGGCACTCCTCGGGTTACGTAACACTCGACTTACATAAATTCGATTTTATGTACAATCAAAGACAAAATGTGTGTCGCAATTTTGTCTGAAGATTAAATATAACTCGTGAAACAATATGAGAGCCCCTTACCACAAGGCAGAGCGCACCAAAAGTTTAGCCCTTCGGCATATGTTTTCACCAAATTTCACGACACGACTTTTGTCTTTCATTGTACAAGTCCCATTGAGAAAAATAATATTATCCGAGATGCTTCTTATGGTCCCACAACATTGTAGAAGAGTGTTGATGATTCCTGACAACCCTATGGAGGAGTTTGCCGCCCTTTCCTCTCCTCAGGTTAGCAAGTCAACAATAAGAATTAAGGTACCTGTAATGTGCTAGTGCAGTACTGTAAATACTCAATTAATAATCTGTTATGTATTAATACAGTTGTTTAGTTATTTAAATTCATTGTTTACAGAAAGATATTGTACTGTACTGTAGTTATCTCCATCTTACAGGATGCATTACCTAATGCTAGGTATTGTGTATGTATATTACATTCATTAGGTAGGATACCCATTTAAGGTTACTGAGTAAATTCGATTTACATAAAATTTGAGTTATGTAATGGTTCCAGGAACGTAACTCTCACGTAAGTCGAGGATTGTCTGTATACTTTAATATAAAAATGGCTAAATAGGGTGTTGAGTATAACTAAGTCATTCATAATCCATCATACTCACTTAAACAGTTTCAAAAGAATTAGAAACTGATTTCTTTTACCGTAATTACAAAAAGCTCACTAATATTTGAAATACCTGAACAGTACTTCTTTCAATTTCAAGCTCATGTCCCTTTATAAATTTTATTTGTGGTTTAACTTTCACATTTCAGGTTGAGGATTAACTTGAATTCACTTAATGTCAAGGGATAAAAATCCTTCAGGAAATATTACCTCAGTGAGATTTGTGTAATCATATTGACTTAAATCATTCACTGTGAAGCCAAACTCTACCTGTGTTATGTTACGTTACAAATTATAACCAATTTAGTTTGATGCTTTGAAACATGAACTTCACCATGTTAGCATCTCCAGAAGGATCTACCTTCCGTGACACTGGTATGTTTCACCAGTGGATAATTTGCTGGCTGTGGCTTATAAAAATGGTTATCAATCATAATTAAAATCTGTCATCAACTTATAAAAATTATGTACTCAATATTAGGTGTAAAAATATACTGTATCCCTTATTTCACAGCATAATAACCCATTAATTACAATACAATCACTCATTATACAACAACTTGTATTTGATTATTGTACACATAACTCATATTTTATGAAGAGTTAAAGGATGCAACCATGAGTTAGGGTCGCCGGTTGTAGCGTTGTCGGAGGGCCACCAAATCCCAGTCATTATAGCGTGTGCGATCCTGGCTGTCATCCTGCCCACCATAGTAGCTGTAATCGTAGTCGTCCTCACTGTGGATCATAACATAAAGTTACACAGAAATAAAATATCAAAATGAGACTACGGTCAAATAAAATCTAGTCTTACCTGGCTTTACAGTCCCAGTCAGGTCACTCTCTTAAAGAATGTTGACACAGCTGTCGTAGGTTGTTGAAACAGACTAAGGTGGGATTGGCTTACATTAAATAAGGTTAGGATGCAATAGGGTTCAAGTTAGGTTATAGTGAGATTTGGTTAGGTTAGAACATTATGGAGTTTGTAAGCCCAATTTCCAATTATTCTCATCATCAGGTTAAATAAACTCAGATTGGTATGGGATTGGGTTAAGTTAAGATTAGATTGGGTTATATTAGGTCAGGATAAGATATCATTGTTAAGCTAGAAGAGAATGGAGTTTTCAAGCCCTACATCTAATTATTCGAAGCACAACAAAATGCAACTGTACTCACTCATCGCAGGAGGGGGCGGTGTAGCCTCTACTGCAGTGACACACGTTGGGGCCGATGCAGCGTCCTTTCTCTCCGCATCCTTCCTCACACACCGCTGCCAGGAAGTGACCAAGATTTATACTGAGGCCAGTGCTAGGATAACTTGGGTCACTGACTGGTAATTAAGGTACTACTAAGGCTGATACTAGGATAACTAGTGACACATTAAGACTGGTGTTAGAATAACTAAGGTCACACTAAGACTGGTGCTGGGGTAACTAAGGTCACACTAGGCAGGCCCTAGGAATCCTTCAGTTTTTACTTGGTATGACTTATGTAATTCCTTGGTCAGTATATTTCACCTGTCAGTATTATTTCACTTACTGTTACTCTAGAATTTCATTTAAGTTTGCACTACAATTCCTATATCTGTTTCACCAATCCTACATATCTTACATGGAACAAGATGATATTTAATATGACAAAAGGAAATGAATGAGTACATGTCCTACCAAACAACAACTTGACAAGTCTACAGAATAAAATCCACAGTTGTGACTAAGTGCTGGTAAGCTTTAGACCAGACAACACTGTAATGGACCTGACTCTTTAAGATAATAACTATAACTGGATGTAAAGAGTTATAAGCAGGGGTGCAGTGCTGCCTGAACTCACCGGAGCGCCGCTACGGCACCTCTGTTTAGATCAATCAATCAATATCGCAGACGCCTTGTTCCCTCCCGGGAACTCTCTAACGGGATGGCTATGGCAGAAATGTCTCCAGGCCATTTTATCCTTGCACACCTCACTTGCTCTCTCAAACACTCTTCCTCCCCTTCCCGCTCTCTCTTCAACAAACTCTCTAATTCTTTTCTCCCAGGTGGCAATTGGTCTACCCCTCCCAACATTCCCCTCTCTCTTGCTATTATAAACTTTTTTGTCAGCCTGTCTTCATGCATCCTCGGCACATGTCCATACCACTTCATCCACTCCACCACACTTCACACATGAAGTTATAGTAAGCTCTATATGTTACTATAAATTTATATCAATCAAGCAATCAACTTTATTTTGCATTAATAATACAAAACCGAATATAACATCATATAATTAATCTCTCCTTCAGATCTGCTTACATTTCATGACTTATCAATATTGTAGAAAGACTTTGATAACAGGTGCACTTCTAAACACTTAAAAACAGTACTTCCTCGCATAAGAGCTACAGATATATGATCAATATCTTAAGGATAAGCACATTAGACTACTACTAGATCAATAATATATATATATATATATATATATATATATATATATATATATATATATATATATATATATATATATATATATATATATATATATATATATATATATATATATATATATATATATATATATTTCATGTAGATCCACAATGAAAACGTGTCACAGAAAGACTTCTGGTTGAAGCTAGTTTGATTAAGGAATTAAAATCAATAAACCTTCGTGATGGTCAGTTCAAAACTGATAATATGTTACATAAATTTATTTGTCAGTGGCCCAAGGCTAAAAATGCTTTGAAAACCTTTGATCTAGATGTATGATAGTTATTTAGCGGGTCCCTTATTTTTGACCTGACCTGACTAGTCACGTCGCCCCCTTCTCTTAAGCTCATCTACGTGTGTGTTGATGTTGGTGTGGGGATTAGTGGATGACATCATTATGACCTGACCTCATGTTTAATAAGGTCAACCGGTATATTTAAGCCTCTCTCTGTCCATGTAATTCAGTTGCCTCTTGAATAAAGACGAAAGCTAAGGTACTCCGTTGTTTCCCTTTTCCCGTGTGATTTTATCAAGAGATATATATATATATATATATATATATATATATATATATATATATATATATATATATATATATATATATATATATATATATATATATATATATATATATATATATATATATATATATATATATATATATATATATATATATATATATACAGTATATATATATATAGTATATATATACACATCAATAGATACGGTTTAAGAAACGGAATTTATTTAGACAGCTCCGGCACCTTAAAAATTCGCACTGCAACACTGGTTATAAGCCATATTTGTCATATGTTAAATATCAGTAAATCTATATAATTAAAATGGAGTCATAACTAAATTCTGAAAAATATGCTCCATTAAAAATGCTAACAATATAAAATTAAATTTTAACTTAGTACAGATAAATACTGCAGTTACTGATATTATAACACCTGTTGATTCTTAAATAAGAAACCAGCTGGCTAAATACACTTGAGCACTAACTAAATAAATAAAGGGTTAAAGAATGGATCCAAGACTGAGGATGGGATATTCAGCAGCACCTAGCGACTCATACACAACACAGGCTGGTGTCAGGGCCATGTTCCTCACCAGCTAAAGCAGGAAAACTGGATTTCTAGTTCTGGTGAGACACCAAGTAACTTCCTTCATAAAGGGAACAAGAAACAACCTCAGTGAGATACGTAAAAAAAGAAAATGGATGGAGTTGAAGTAAAGACGAGAGAACCGAACATGGGCTAAAATAAGTCTTAAGATGTTAACTACCAGGTCAGTTAACACCACAACACAGAGAAAAGATCATTATGATTTGGAGATAAATTTTTAGAGGTACAACAGAAACATCAAAGAGGTAAAAGGAAATACAGTATGAAAAAGAAGACAAATTTTTAAATAAAAAGATTATAATACTATAGTTCTGGTAGAGGGGTAGTGAGTATGAGTAAGCAAGGGACAAGACACTGAAGCAAAAATGGGATCTGACAATAGAGAAGGGACCAGTTAAGTTTAGTGACTCACGCATCTGGCAGCGGGCCCCAGCATATCCAGGGAGGCAGGTGCAGCGGTGTGGTCCGATACAGACGCCGCCGTGCAGGCAGGGCAGCGGGCAAAGTGCTGTTGAGGAGCAGTGCGGGTTATGGCAGGCAGCCGACTAATATTAGTGTGTGGCCGAGGCTGAGTCAGGAGGAAGCAGGAACAATAGTAACACACTATCAAGAATGGTACAGTGACCAGGAACACCACATTGAGTTTGGTCAGCTTGGATCAATGGGAGCAGATGAAAGGCTGAATGGGACTACCAGGGTGAAGCAATTCTCAGAAAATGAAAAGCGAAATACCGTACAGTACTGTATATTAAATTTGGTAAAAAATAATGGATATTTGTGAGACTCCTTCATGAGAGGGGGTGGTGTGTGTGGTGACCTGATAGCATCATCAGTGCTAGAGGCAGTATGTGATAGGCTAAGTTCCAAAGCCTTAAGAATATGCCAAATTAGACCCACCATCCACGAGAAGAATGGTTTCCCTTCCACAGCAAATGATTTCACTTGACATGAAACACCTCCTTTCTCCAAAGTCTGCAACATCTTCGCTAGCAACCCACCTTCCTTAATTTTATTCAGAAATGAACCAAAGAAGTAATGACGAAGGATATCATCTTGTCCTGAACTGTGATTAAGCCTCGTGTGATTATCATTGATCCATATTTCTGCTTGTTTAGGTATTCTAATGTTACCAGTATTATTAACAGACAAAACTCCTTGTTCTCTCATCATCTATTACAATGAATCTAGCCCAATAGATGGACACTCTGGTAGATGTTTGGGTAGACATGTAGCGGTATAAGATTTTCCTTTTTTATTAATTGCTAACACCATCAAAGGGAGTGTTGCAAAAACTACATAAATCATATAATATTTATAGGAAAGTAAAAGTAAATCAGCTTTCAAATTTGTGAGCCTACAGTGTCTTATTACAGTGCCCCAAAATGCTAGGTATATTTACAGTAAATTCTTACTATTCGCGGGTTTGATATTTGCAGTAAGCAGATGGTGACTAGCTTGAGAGCCTAACCCGCAGTGCAACGAGTCACCCCCACACGCCCGCAGTGTCCCCTCTTCCTTTGTGCTCAACCATTGCCTGCAACGCAGCATCTCGTGTTGTACTTAACAACTAACTTAACGAACAACTATACACCGGTGAGCCTGACCAGCATAATATGTAAACTATTTGAGAGTATTATCAGAGATGCCACAATGGAACATCTACTACGAAACAACCTTGTAAAGGATTGCCAACATGGTTTTGTGCCGGGGCGCTCCTGCTTAACACAATTGTTCAAGGTATTGGATATTTGGACCAATATCGACAATATTTACCTACATTTTTCCAAGACTTTCGACAGTGTACCCCACGAAAGGCTGAAAATCAAACTGGAAGAGTACGGAATTCAGAGAAATGCCCTAGCGTGGATAGAAGACTTTCTACATGACCCCAAGCAGTGTGTGGCGATTAATGGCACGAAATCATCATCCGTACCTGTCACAAGCGGGGTACCACAGGGCAGTGTATTGGGCCCGCTGTGTTGTTTGTTTGTTTTATAAATGACATGCCTGACGTTGTACACTCCTCCATACAAATGTTTGCCGATGACGCCAAGTTATTTCGGGAAATCAAGAACCAAGTGAACTGTGAAGAGCTGCAGAAGGACCTCTGTGGGGTCCAAGAATGGTCGAAGAAATGGCTGCTGAGATTCAATGTCACGAAGTGTAAGAGGATGCACCTAGGATGTACCAATGGTAGGGAGGCATATCGTATGTCCCAACGGATAAAAAACTGCACTATTTGAGACCTAATGTGAGAAGGACCTAGATATGTATGTTGACAATGAGCTGAAATTCTTGGGCCATTGCGAGAAGAAAGTAAATCAGGCAAATAAATTATTGGGTCTTATAAGAAGGTCGTTCAGATATCTAGACGGTCCGTCCCTCGTAACGATCTTCAAGAGTGAAGTGCTTCCCCATCTGGAGTACTGTCACCCTGTCTGGTCCCCGAGATATGCTAGTGACTGTCAGTTGGTTGAAAATGTTCAAAGGAGGGCCACCAGACTGGTGCCTGCACTTCGGCACCTCAGCTACCCTGAGAGATTGGAGCGCCTGAACTTGCCTAGCTTATATTACAGACGGGCGAGGGGTGACCTAGTTGAGGTGTGTAAGCATCTCAGGGGGCACTACTCAGTCGACTGTCCTTACTTGGAGCTGGCGGATGCTCACCCCACAAAGGGTCACAGCTCAAGATTGAAAAAGCCGCAAGTCCAGAAAACTGTGAGGGCAAACTTTTTTGGAGTGAGGGTTGTAAACTCTTGGAACAATATACCAGAGAGTGTTGTGACGGCACCGAGTGTGAGCTCTTTCAAGACAAGACTTGACCAAAACTGGAGCGGGTTCAGGTACATTCAGGAGCCGGTGCATGCCCAGTATTTGCCAACAGTGCGTGACAGAGACGTGACCGATCGCCCGGGCGGCTAGCGAGCCGACCTTTTGGTGAAGAGGATAAAAGTAAATTACCTATTTAGTGAATACCTGAACATGTTCAAAAGTATTGGGAAACCTACATTCAAGAGACTCAGGCTGTATAACTCTACTTTACAGAAGCTATATTTACATGTGAAGGCAGCAGCAGCAGCAAGCACCCGCATAGCACATAGCATAATGCAGAAGTTCTATGATAACAAGATATTCGTCATGTTCATAGCCTTGTTATCCAGGAGAATATAACAAGATGTCCTTTATCTTGTTATTAATAACATAAAAAAATATATCATCAGTGCTGGATGACTCACGCGTCTGGCAACGGGTACCAACATAACCCACTTGGCAGCGACACTTGTAGGGCGCGATACAGGTCCCACCATTAAGACATGATGCTATACACACGGCTGTTTGTGGTGAGAAGGACAGGTTCCTTATTGTGTTATGACCTTTCCACTATCATCCTCACTTGCAATCAAATAACAGTCCGTTACACAATAATTAATAACTTGAAAACACATGATGACTACAACTTACCACTTGATAATATGATACAACCTGTCCCTGGATGATGATTCTTCATGAACTTAAAAAGTAACAAAATCTGCTATAAAACCAACCCTTCACTTTTTATTTTTTATATTATTTATTTATTTTTTTTTGGGGGGTGGGGGGGTGCAGTGCAGATTCTTTCATGCATGACCACAGCTGATGAAATTCATCACTTCACATAAACCTTCTTTATACAGTAGTACTAAATTGTTTGTCACCCTAATGTTCCATCTTTAAGTCCTCCTCTCATTCATTTCTTTATTTCCCCAAAAGATGATCATGCAATTCCCTTATTATTGTACTACTTAGCCTTTTACAAGTAATCTCAATCTTATGTCAAACAACTTATCACTAACAGTGCTGCCTTCAATTGAACAGAAAACTTGTTAAGGAAACCTGCATTTATCTGTCATATGGGATCAGATAAGAAACTCAAATGATTCAAATATGTCTAAGATATGGTAACTGATGAAGGAATGGGTGGACATTTTTCATTTCTATCAGTTGAACAATATAAGTCTCCTGCAACACATAAATTTCATAGAGAAGTGAATAGACTATATTTATCATCATTATTTTGTTTTTATGGCCTGAAATCAACAACAGTTAAAAGTACAGTTATAAATTTAACATTCTTACTGAAAAAAAGAAGGAAATGTGGTATCATATCAAATAATAATATATATTACTGGTCTTAACTTGAACACTGCTCTGCTCACTACTAAACAAAGCCAACAAAAGGTGTGCAGACCAAACAGTGATAAACTTTCGCTCACCTTCTGAGTTAACATGATACTACCAAGTCCTCATGATTAAACATGACTTCCCTTTTAAGTGAGAGAAGATAAAGTGTGGTACTCTTGGATGATAAAGTGAACCACTATCTCACAATCCAAGGTCTATAGTCTCAAACCTTTGTACACCAAAATTTCTTCCAGTAATTGGAGTTCCAGGAATGCACTTTAGTTATGATAAAGCTTCAATGCAGTTATGATGCCACTCTGGCTACAATCCACATAACCTTAGCTTGAGTGAATCAGTTGAATGTTATATGCAATCTTATATTTCTATTCAAGGGAATATATTAATAAACAAATCTCTGAGAATGAGAGGTAGAGAAGACACATTTTCTCAAATGGTGGCACAAGAAACATTGTGACCTTGTGATTCTCCCATATTTCAAAAAGTGCCACCACCACATTCTCCTGACGCAATCCTAGTGTCATGCTAAGAATAATATAAACAAGAGACTTCACCGTGCTGGCAGTGGTCGCCGACGTATCCTGGGGGGCAGGTGCACACATTATTACTGAGGCAGACTCCTCCGTTGAGGCAGCGACGGCCACACTGACCTACACATGCTGGCACCCCGGACCACGACCCATCAGCTAGACACGTCAATACTGCTGATCCATTGACTGATTTGCCTGTTGATACACACGGGAATCCTCCACAATAATACATCTGTTTCAGTGGAAAAGATCAGAGAATATTTCAAACTGACTAAAACAATAAACACAATCTCTTTTAAAGAGCATAGTATTTGTAATGAAAAAATATTGGTAATGTGTGTATATATTAAATTTATCAAAGTTAAATACCTGTACACAAAAACTGGTTACATAAGAGTTAACAAGGCAAACAATCTAGAAAACTATTAATTAACTTATTTGGAATGAGAGTTGTAAACTTGTGATAATACTGTATACCAATGAGTGCTGTGACAGCACCAAGTGTGAGCTCCTTAAGTTCAGGCTTGACAAACACTGAAACATATTCAGATAAATTCAAGAGCCTATAAATTTCTAGTGCCTGCCAACAGTTCATAGCAGAGAACTGACTAAGCAAGTGTGGATGTGTGAGTGTGAAAGACTGACCTGGAGGACAGCGATAGACCACCTTGTCCCTGTGGTAGAAGGAGCGGCCCAACACCACTGCCCCATCTGTGTTGATCTTGGGACGTCCACATGAAATCTCTGTTAAACACAAACATTTCTGTCCCTTAGTTACTGCATTTGCCTACCATGTAAATTTGCATACAATATGGAGCAATCAAGGAATAACAGAGAGATACTGGAAATATTTGATTATGTAAGTCATGACAAAAAAGGAAGAAGTAAAAAAATAGGAAAAATTATTTATAGAGAGCCTGGATACTGTAATTGTCCTACTTTCCCTCATTTCTTCCCCTTATTTACCTTATCCTAAACCCATCCCCTGCCCCCCCCCCCAAAAAAAAGAAACAAAAATCACCATAGTACTTACAATCGTAATCCCTGCCATCCCACCCATTTACACAAGCAATAGTCCCTCTTCCCTAGCTACAGGCATCAAGTCAAGTAAAATAGAGAAAACAAAGAGCAAGCATTGAATCCAGAAAAAAAGATATAATGGTTTGACACTGAACTGAGGCAAGTGATGAGAGGAATGTCTTGAGCACCATCACAACAAAAACAGATCTATGCAAAGAAGTTGATGAGGACATACTAGAACATTGTCCCTGTACGCGAGACCAGAGGCCGGTGTCGAGGCAAGTGGTTGACAGGTCTCCCCGCATTATGTAACCCTCCTGGCAGGTGAAGTGGAGGCGGTTCTGGAACACAGCGCTAGTCGAGGAAGCTGCTGAGGGCTGCACTACATTGGGGGGAACCGGGGCTCTCCCACATACTGATGCTGTAAGTCAGGCCTGTTGTTAGAGCAGTCTGGCTCACATGCTGCTAGGTATGTGAGGGCATCTGTGGACATTTGTGATATGTGTGTGTGTGTGTGTTATAAGTGTTCCTGTTGGGATGTGTGTGTGTATTATAAGTGTTACTGTTGGGATGTGTATGTGTCATTAAGTCTTACTGCTGGGGTGTGTATGTGTGCCCTACATGAGATAGGAGGGGTAATGTATATCTCTCCTTATTATCTGGATATATATAAGCCACTTGGGTTTTTACAACAAGCTAGTACGAATATGCCTATTATACTAGTACATCACTGGTAACTAAGTTATATTAAACAAATGCAATAAATTTTAAGTATCTTCACGAGTATGCATAAATATTCTAACTTAACACTGGACAACTAAAATTCATGACAAGGTATGAACCAACCACCTGGCATTTGTGTACCAACATTTGATGTGCCCAGGTTTTAGGACTGTCATTTTTGAATACCGTGAATCTAGAGAACTTCTTCTCTCTGGATTAGTAGTATTACTTAAAGCTACAGCCTGTACCATGTTAACATTATTAACAATTGGTTTGTCTCTTGCCCCTATTAGTCGGATGGCTGGTACATTACTTCAATATCTCCATCTTCCAGTACCCTTACTACTTTGCCTCTTCTGATCTTAGTTGAGCATTCCCATATTCTTGGTAATGAGTTTATAATTAATTACTTATTCACTGAGTATTACACTTAAGGCAGCTGCAATAAAATTTATTCTGCTCATTAAATTTCAGAAGATTTTTATTTTTTATTTTTTTAAAACATATGAAGTAATAAGCTCACGTTCACATCGGGGCGTGGCGGAGGACCATGTGCCTGAGGCATCACAGTAGATGTGAGCCTCACCATTCATCACGTAACCTTTCTCACATGCAAACTTGACTCTGTCCTCGTACAATGTCCCCACACCCATGGCAAAACCGTTCTGTGGAGGCGTGATCTCTCCACAGTCTTTTCCTGTTGGCGGTTATAATATATGGCATTAAAATACAGTTAAGTGTTTGTGAGGTGACATGTTAACAACAGTCAATTATACAGTGTAAACAAAAGAGAAATAATAAAACCAAGTATGTACTTGTACCTGTAAAAACATTTAAATATATATACCCCAAGGCAAGTCACTTGATTATAAACAAGATTCTCAATGGCAAATTATATAATATAAATAAGTAGCCTAATACTGTATATGAAAAGAAACTGGAAATAGAAAAATTTCTCTATGACGTAAACACTACAAGACGTATCAAGAGGCTGACATGTTTCCTAAAAGAAATTCCATTCACAAATACAGTATACTGACGGTGGCACTGAGGAAGGTTGCCACTCCATGTGGCCTGGGCAGTGCAGACACGGGTGTCATTGCCATAGAGCTGATACCCTGGGTCACAGTGGTAGAGTGCCTCTGCTCCCAGGTCTGTGTACGAAGACTCCACAGTCCCACTGCTCGGCTCCTGTTAAACAACACGGTAGCCTTAAGGGTACATTTTAATAGCTTCCTGCCTTTGATACTTCACAGACAACTCTGCAATATATCCTTTACCAATCACTGGGAGTGACCAAGGCAATACAGCAACAACATCTAGTCTCCATAAAACACAAGTGAACAGCAGTATAAGGTTAACACACAAAAAAAGGGGAGTGGGGCTTTCATAAGGACAAGACACAAAAAGACTATTGTATAAGGTATGGAAGAGAAGAGAAATAATTGCACAAGGATATCATCTGTGTATGAGTTACAAGAGTGCCTATTTAAATCAATTTCTCAGAAATGCAAAATAAAAATTTATTACTCGCACTACAGCACAGTACTCTACTCAAGTGTGGAAAATCATCTAAAATAATTGACAAAACTCACAGCCTCATATATTGTATAAAAATGCATGGATATATGAAAATGCTCAGACACAACCAGCAAGTGGCCTAAGTTTCAGTAATATTCTTTGATAAACAATGCAGGAATTTATTAAAACATATTATAAACCCCAATGATTGATGGACGAACAGAAAAACACAACAGAGCATTCCACTACAGCTCCCATAACACTCTTACAGACATACTGCATAACAGAACACGTTACCTACACTCTCATTATCAAAGAAAAAGAAACAGACCTCTGGCACACCACAGTCGACAGGCTGACAAATAGGTAAGTCGCCCTTCCAGGTACCATCTACATCACACTTGACAGAGGGGTTGCCAATGAGCATGTATCCATACATACATGAATAGTTGGCCACACTGCTAAAACTGAAGTGCTTCGCTGTGATTTTGCCAAAGGCTGGGATCTCTGGCTCAAAGCAGTTGACTGGTTCACATGTCGTGCTGTATCAATAGAAATTGAAGTTGTCACAACATCTTGAACCATGAATTATTTGAAATCTTTCTCTAATAAAACAAGACCTACACAGACTATGGATGTTTAACCTTAAATTGGCTATGTATTAAGCTTAAAACTTCTAACAGAAGAGTAAGAAAAACTTACAGCATACTATGGATCCATGCATCAACCAGAGATAAGATGACCAAATCAGTTACCACTGAGGAAATTGGTGCCAGAGTAAAATTTCCCACATAAGTGGCGTGAGGTATCCATCTAATTCTTTCAAAATTTATTTTATCTCCTGTTAGGTCTCATTATGGACTTTTTTCTCTAAACTAGTTTGCTTTTTTCATCTTACTATGTAGTCAAACACAAGGATGTCACCTGAAGAAACTGAATTTTCAGTAATGTACATTCTTGTTACATTGATATTTGACATGTATCCTAGTGAAGTATAATTCCTTTGTAATTATTATTGTAAGTAAACTAATTGTAAAAATCACCAATCACCTACAGGGTTCAACAATCCTCTCTGTCTACATCTCTCTCACTGACACAATGATTCAAGGAAGTGGTCACCTTGCTGCCTGTAACTTGTTTCATTCTATCCAATGATAAAAATGTATAAAGGTTGGAAGTGTAATGGTGGTGGTAACATACTTGAATTCTTGCCATTGTCCAAGGTTACATTCAACTGTGGAATCCCCTAGTTGGTTGTAGCCCGGGTCACAGGAAAGGGTGGCTGTCTGGGGGTACACCTCTTCTTGCTTCACCGCATGGCCATGTGTGAGCTCTGGCAAGTAGTCACATAACTTCGCCACACAGGATGGATCGTCGCCCACCCACTCTCCGTTAGCCTCGCACACCTGGTTTTCTCCCCCTGTTGACGTTGGTAACTTATATGACACTGATAAAGTACTGGTTTATGTGTTCTGAAAACTTGAAGAGGTGAGCTATTTTCTAAGATTTTCTTTGAAGTTGATATTGTTTAGCATTAGTCAACACTATTACAGAGATATCCCCGTTAGCCAGAACAATTGGTGCAGAGCACTTCCGGGGATGGGAGATTTCCGGGTAACAAAACAACTTTCTCATACCCGGAAAAATTCCTTATCCTGGAACCTTTTATGGTTACTGGGAAAAGTTTCCGAGTGTCTAAGCTAGACCTCTTGCACAGACGCACACTAGCCCACTTCCCCAGAACGTCTCTAGGTGCTGGAGATGTTTTCATCAAGTCTAAACTACTGGAATCCATAAATACAGTTCTAATTAAGTTAAAAATTTAATTTCTTTACTATAAAAATACAGAATAGTTATCTCAAAGTTTGGTTAAATAAATATATTTAAAAAATAAAAATTAAAAGCTGTGTGTTACAGCAAAGACTGTTATTTTCCACTCTCATAGAGCTGTGGGAGGATTAGTGGGTCTTGTGTAACTGATCTGAGCTGATGCAGTGTCAGGTGGAGGTAGGATGGGGGATTAGCAGTCTCATATTACTGATCTGATGGAATGTCAGGTTACCCTTTCTTGGGTGGAGGATTAGTGGGTCTCATGACCTGAAGACGTCTTGAATAAACACGAGACCTAAAATATTTTTAGAGAGATTGTGGTAAGTACAGATATAAGTATAAATGAGCAAAGTTGTATCCTATTAGAAGGTCAATAATAGGAGACCACTAATCCCCCACACTACTTCCACCTGACATTGAGTCAGGTCAGGTGTCCCCAAAAAATACTTTAACTTTCATCTTTATTCAATTACATTTTCAGAAAATTCTCTTGATTTTCAACCTTGGAAAAATTTTTCCTATAGCCGGAAATTTTTATAAAATTCCGGCTTTCGGAATGATTTTCCAAACAAATTTAAATTCTGGCTATTAGAGACTTCCGGGTTTGAGGGATTCCGGCTAATGGAGATATTACTGTATTGTCATATACAGTTTATATGAGAACAATATATTTTCCTTATACTATAGCTCTAAAGAATATAAATATACTTAGACAATCTATTAAGCTAAAATTTGTGTCAAAGTTTTTTGCGATAAATAACTCTTTCACTAGAAAAGTTATTTCTATCAAGGTTGTGGTTAGTGAAAGAAACATCTGAGATCTAACCTTGCAGCTGGTATCCTAGGTCACAGGAGTAGGAAGCAGTGGAGCCGTAGGAATGTGGCTGATTGTGTTCTGGAGTTATGAAGCGGATGAGGGTGTGGGGGAAGTGTGTGGGAGACCCACATGACACAGGGGCACAAGTGGGTGCTTCAGAGCTCCACTCACCATTAGCTTCACAGGTGAGAACACTTGCCCCCTACAAGCAACATACTGAATGTAATACTGAGAAAGAAACACTACTGTATGGGTATTTACATAAATATCAACAAAATACCATATGAAGAATTGGTAATTACTGTATACCCTGCACAGTATATGATCCTGAACAAAACATTAAGATATTGAACCTGGTACTTTGTTTAAAAAAGTAGCACAAGATACAATATATTTACTGGTACAACAATCAATTCACCTGAAGTTCATAGCCTTCCCTGCAGGAGTAGTTAGCTGTGGCACCGTAGAGAAAGACTTCACCTTCAATAATGGCATAGTCTGGTAACTGAGGGGGCCCACATGATACCCTGCTGCAGCGTGGTGGGGCATTTGACCAGTCCCCCTCTCCTGTGCATGTTGCAGTACTCTTGCCTTCTGCCTGGAACCCTTCATCGCACTCCCAGCTCACCTCGTCATCCATCCGATACACTAAAAATGCACACTAGATCAGTTCCCCAAGCCACATGTCTAAGTATATTCATAAATAAATATCCCTGGATACACAGTACATATTTGATACAAAAAAAATTGATAATACTGTACACCTTCAATATAACATAGTACACTTCCCTAAATTACTCCCATTTTTTCTTTATTGTGGTTAAACTTTTTTACTGCACAGTGTAAACCCAGAGCTCAGTCATGGGGGGTTGATCAGACCTGGTGTTAAATGTCAAGACTCACTTGAGAGAGAGAGAGAGAGAGAGAGAGAGAGAGAGAGAGAGATATCAGACAAGAAAATATGAAAATGTCAGAATGAAGTCAGGCATCAACCTTAAGGTTCTTGTGATATCCACAGCTCATTCCCTGTTGAAAATGCCTGAACACATCCATGTTCACTTCTAAACTTACACTTTTTTTGTCTCTTTTGCACATGACAATATTTATATTGTATATTTTTCACTGTTTTAAGTTCCTGTGCTCATATTTCATTCTGTCATTATTAGAGGCAAATATGTATATGACTTAGTGTTTTGCTTCTTCAAGGTGTGGTGTGGTATCAGTTTGGTGTTGACTTAGTCTGTTGGTGGGGCCAGTGAGGTGAAACTAATGTTTTAAATAAAATTTTGGGTGTACCTTTTTTAGGCTGAAGTCCCATACTTTATATTTCCAGCTGAAATACATAGAACGATATAATCCAATTCAATACTGTGCAACAACTCTCAGTCTCAGTCTCCGTCTCGCATTATATTGAGGGTCTACTGCACTACATCCCTCAACAAACGAAATATGGCAAAATGTTCAGCACCACTGAAGGTCATCTAGATGTAATATCACAAACACTGATAAAGATAAGTTAATTCAGAGTAATACCAAAGTGCTCACATTTTTCAACCATTCGGTCAGAGAATTTGTGCCCTTTCTTCTTGCCCTTCGAACCCTTCTTCTTATTGCCCTTCTTTCCAGTGTTACTCTTTTGTCTTGGAGGCGTCACAGCCTCGGCCAAGTTCAGTATCTCCACCTCCTCCTCATCTGCAGAAATAAGAGAAAAACAATATCTCCTAATCTTTGAATTGAACCACTAACAAGGATTCCTAAAAAATGTCGCCGATTAAATTACCAGTAATTCTGGTGTGCAGCCGGAGAACAAGATAAAACAACAGATACAGAAATATGAAAATTCGGGGAAATATTATCTCGACATTAAATTATGTTTTTTTTTTTGTGTTTTTTTAAACAAAGAAAAATTGCAGCTGGATATTAGATTTGTCAAATCACTGAAATTTTGCAACAAGTCAGTAAGGATATGGTCTATACAACAATACTACTATAGAGATAGACGGACCATCTAGAAGGTGACCGTGTGGTAGTGCGGGTGGAGAAGGGCAGTAAATGGGCTCACATGGCGGTGGCTCATTGCTCCACCTGCCAGAATGCAAACATGTAGTCCAATCAATCCCATCCATCCAGTATCCACGTTCACACTCAAAGGTTACCTGGGAGTACAGAGGAAATACATGAAACTATTGATGATATGCTAGACAGTCATACCACTACATGGTACAATACAGGAATACCTGCTGTGAAAAATGTTTAAAAGACATAAGTTAATATTTTTAGTCAAGGATTCTAAAACAGTACACACTACAGTAAATAAAAAATGGAAGAAAACGAATGAGATTTTTCTCTTTCTATACCTGGGAGGCATAGGCGGTGTGTGAGCCATGGAGGACAACGTTGTCACCAGTGGGTGGTGGGCCACAGTCCACCAGCAAACACTTAGGGGGCACTGTGTCCCACTTGCCCTCACTGATGCAGTTGAGAACTGGGGAGCCCTCCATACGGTAGCCCTCAATACACGAATACCTCACCGTTCCTCCCACCTATACAAAAGAGGTCAGGAATGAGAAAGTTTCATGCGTATTTCTTGAGGTTGTACCATCACCTTCAAGATACTGTACTCTCACTGTAATCATTGTGTCCCACCAGTCTCTCTCTTGCTGTTGTCCTGCAAACTTAATTTACACAGTAATTTTGCCTACCTTCTCTTTGAATGTGTGTGTGTGTGTGTGTGTGTGTGTGAAATATCTTATGAATCATGCCTAAAGTGCTAGCCATTTTTTTCAGGAAGGAAGAGTGACAAAAAGAGTGTGTGAGACTGAAAGAAAAGTTAAAATAACGAATACACTAGTGGTGTACCAGTATGTTTTGACACATGCAATGCCAATCAAAGCCTTGCAATTGACAAGGGATATTGGTGTTACAGCAGTAATGTCCATATCTCTCACAACTATGTCAAGTCCTGACCAAAGACATATGTTTTCTCTGGGTACTTTGATTTCCTTCTATACTAACACTGATAATAAAGGTCATAATGTAAAAAAGAACAGACCAACCACCAGAATGGCTAAGTAACCTGATAAATGGTGAAATGATGAACAAAAAATAAGCACATTGGATGCTACCCAATTAATCCAATTAAGGAAGAATAAAGATATTTAATTCAGAAAAAATATCACAGAAAACACTCAATTTTTGTAACATGCAAATACGTGTAACCACTAGGAAACATAAATATGAAACACTAAGATACTTTCTCAATCACTCACATCTTCAGAGAGTGACACGCACGCACGCACGCACGCACGCACGCACGCACGCACGCACGCACGCACGCACGCGCGCACACACACACACACACACACACGCACACACACACACACCAAATACTGTACAGTATACTGTACATAAAATCAGTACAGCAGCAAACACTTTGACGCTGCTCACAGATAAATGGTTGTTAAAACAATGCACTAAAACACATCATGTTGAATACCTTGAGACTGATGCTCTCCCTTATGCCATGGACTACTTCTTCGGGCAGGTCACAGAAGAGCTCTACACACACAGGCTGCTCTCTAGTCCAGAGACCATTGTTCTGACAAGTCCTGAGGGAGACAAGTCTTACTCAATGCTCCGGTTGGTATGAAGTAGTGGTGGTGGTGGTGGTGTGATGGTGGTGGCAGTGGTGGTGTGATTGTGGTGTGATGGTGGTGGTGTGATAATGGTGCATGATGATGGTGACAGAGGTGGTGGTGGGATCTGATGGTGGTAGTGAAAGTTCATTATATAACATAACAGTCATATGCTGTAACAAAATGATTGAAGGGTAAAACTTATTGGAAATACTTGGCATTAACAATTTTAATGTTTGAGGCAAGGAACCAGTCGATGCCATATACTTGCCAACAGTGCATAACAGAGACGTGACCGCTCACCCAAGTGGCTAACAAGATGACAAAGTGACGAAGAGGATAAAATAAACTCAAATAACGCCAAGTAAAGTACTGACAGACAAGAACCAAACTTACTTAAAGAAACTGGCTTTTTGCATTACTCTTAAATGTAGTTCAGTGAATTGTGGGATAATCTGACCTCACCTTCATATTCTTTATTGGAAAACAGTTAGTAGAGTCTAACATTTGACAGCACAAGTCGATGTCCTTTTCGAGGCAGATTTCACCTCACGATTCATGCACTACCCACTGGCAAAAGTATCATAGCAATGAGTCGTGGTAAGGCTTAACTAGTGGACCCTCCCCACTATGTGTGTGTGTTTTACATAAGAATGCAGACCACAAATAAGGGAAAAGGGAGATACATGGGTGATATGGGCATGAGTGATTGAGAGGAAGTGTGAGACTGAAAATATATGGAAAGCGAAGAGAAATTATATATATATATATATATATATATATATATATATATATATATATATATATATATATATATATATATATATATATATATATATATATATATATATATATATATATATATATATATATCATAAAGAAGAGACATGAAAGTATGGAAAAGGATATGCAACAAATACTACCCAACATGACTTACCTGGTGCTGACCCCCTCTAGTCTGAAACCTTCATCACACACGTATGAGAGGATGGAGCGGTACTTGATGCTCTTTCCCAAAGTCTGACCATTCTCCAGGTCTGCTGGTCTAGCACACTCGATAACCCTGCAGAAGGGCTCAGTATCCGTCCACTCCTTGTTCTCCTGGCAGGTCCTGTTGCTCTTGCCAACGAGTTCGTGCCCCTCATTGCACTCGTAATGGATGGTGGCATTGTAGCTGTAATCTCCACCTATGATGATGCCATGACGGATGTTGATAGGGATTGGGCAAGAGATGGGATGACACTGAGGCACGGGGGCACTCCAGAGATTTTCTGTACACTCCAACAGACTACTTGTTGCCATGGAATAGCCTGCGTTGCACTGAAATTCGACAACATCTCCGAATTTGTGTATCAGTCCTTCCACTGCTTCTCCTTGTATCAGTGATTGGAGTTTGGAGAGGACATTCAACTTCCCACGACCTTTGGAGTGACCTTTACCATGGCCCTTTGCTATCAGAGGTTCAGTTTTGATAGGATACTCCCCTAAAGTTTTCACCTCCCAGCTGCCATGCTGCATGTCTGGAATTTCTGGGCACGTTATCATATCACAAACAGGGACCTGATTCGACCATGAACCGTCAGCTTGGCATACAAGCTCCGCGCTGCCTGTCATAGAGTAGCCTTCATTACAGGAATAACGAATACTATGACCATGCTCAAACAAGTCACCTTCACGCACAGAATTGAGAGCTTCAAAAGGCTCCGGACAAGTAACTGGTTGACACTGTGGCTCGACTCCTGTCCACACTCCATTGATGTTACAAGTGCGGTTGGTGTTTCCTGTCATAATGTACCCCGTATTACACTGATAAGTTAGGGATGTACCAAACACACTATCATCATTTTCCAATTTCATCTTGCCAAATTCTATCTGCTGTGGCTCAGGGCAGGTGATTTGTAAACAAGAAGTCACATAGTTACTCCAGGATCCATCAAACTGACACTCAGCTGTGGGTTCACCCAGGAGTTTGTAACCTGTATCGCAAGTAAATCGTACTATATTACCATACATATAGTCATTACCAGAGATATAGCCATGAGGCAGTGTCCCTGGGTTCCCACAATCCACAGGATGACACTGAAGGTCCTCACCCTCCCACTCTCCTGTGGCACTGCATGTCAGTAAGATGCTCTTTGCTGTGGTGTAGTAGCCCTCATCACACTCATACTTGAGAACTGCAAATGACTCAAACTGCAATTCAGTGGAGTTGTAGGTAGCATGTATCACCTGAGGTGCAGGTGGGCAGATGACAGGTAAACAGTGAGGCATCTCTGTATCCCAGTTGCCTGTTGCACCACACATTAGTTTACTTTCACCATCCATGGTATACCCTGGATCACACTCAACGCTTGCATATGAACTGAAAAAAAGTCCACTGAGACGCACCTTACCATTGGAGGGTCCCCTGGGCTTGGTGCAGTTGACAATGGCACAGAAAGGGGATGACCCTGACCAGGTCCCATCAGGTTGGCACACCTGCACACCAGGTCCCTGCATTATGTGACCTTCATTACACTCAAATATGATCTTATCAGTAAACTTAAATGATGTGCCAATGTAGTTTCCGTTTGCCAGTTTTGGAGGAAGACCACAACTGACTCTCTCACACACTGGTGCAGGTGAACTCCATCTCTCATTATCCATGCATGTTGCCTTCTGACTTCCATTCAGCTGGTAGCCAGGCAAACACTCATACTCAACCAGAGAGCCACAAGAGTTATCATTACCTATCACACGGCCGTTGGGGATACTCTTTGGTAATTCATCGCAGTATATCAGGTTACAGACTGGTTCTTCCAGATTCCATGTGCCATCTATCTGACAGTATCTGGTGAGAGGGCCAATGAGCTTGTAGCACTCCTTACATTCATATTCTATCGGAGAATCCACATACAAGTTGCCCTCGAATGTAATGTAACCATTCTCAATGACAGGGGGAACTTTACAAGTGACCGCCACACACCGAGGCATGGACCCATTCCAGTGGCCATTAGTGCTGCAGTACCGTTCAACACTGCCTTCAAGGACAAACCCAAAGAAACAGTTGTAAGTAGCCAAGGAACCGAATGTAGTGACTGAAGCATCGACGGTGCCATTGCCTAAATTTGGAGGTTCACCACAGTCAATAATATGGCAGGAAGGTACCTCTCCGAGCCATGTTCTGTGTGACTGGCAGAGAAGCTCAAACTCTTCACCTTCAAGTTTATAACCTTCATCACAGACATATTCTGCACGGCTGTCAACACCTGAGCCATGGTAAACAATGTGGCCATTAGGCACTGCACCCAATTCAGGGCAGTACTGCTCATAACACTGAGGTTCTGGGGTGTCCCACTCACCTGCTTCAGAGCACTGACGTCGATGAGCACCTAAGAGTTTATAGCCTGGACGACAGTTATACTCAACTTCAGTGCCATATAGGTAGTCTCCCTGGTCTAACTGCAAGCCTTGATCAAAACCTCCACTGGTTTGAGAAGTAAAATAATCACTAGATTGACTGTTATCATCAAATCCATTAGAAGACTGTCCGAAATTATCAAACCCACTTGACACCTGGCCAGTGCTCTGTGAAATTTCAAAACCATTTGATGACTGCCCAAAATTTTCATAATCACTTGATGCTTGACCTGTACTCTGTGAAAATTCAAAACCATTTGATGACTGCCCAAAATTTTCATAATCACTTGATGCTTGACCTGTACTCTGTGAAAATTCAAAACCTTTTGATGACTGCCCATAATCATGATAATCACTTGATGCTTGACCAGTGTTCTGAGAAAATTCATCATAATCATCTGGGAACCAAACAGGGTCAGAATGAGGGTCTGGAAAACCTAAAGATGGGAACTCAATGTCTGGAGAACCCAAGGTTGGGAAACTTAAGGATGGGAACTCAATGTCTGGACTACGCTTTCTCCTCAGTTCGATTTCTCCAGAAACTTGAGGGAAAACTAAGAACTGGTTATTTGATGAGCCAGAAGCTGCAGGTGGACGGTACACCACAGACAGAGCTCCATTTTGAGGTCTGTTGAGTGTTGGGCAGGTGATTGCTTGGCAGTCTGGCACGTCCCCCTCCCAATTTCCCTCATTTCTATTAATCACACATTTGCGGAATGCATTGCCATGCATCCTGTAACCCTCCTCACATTCATATATCAGTGTGTCACCAACCCGCCACACTTCCTTCTGTGGTATGGAGCTATGTGCAGGTACGTCCGGGTCAGAACAAGGGAAGCCTTCACAAGTGGGCCAGGGTCCATCCCACTCCCCAGTAACACCACATGATAGTGTACTGGCCCCCACCAGGGTAAAGCCAGGGTCACACTTGTACACTGCCTCTTTGGATGAGGCTGATGCCCGAACCTGCAATCATAAGACATGAATTGAAAATAAAATTTATTTCTATTTTATTTAAATATTAGACATTTATAATACCTGAAGGTATCCTTGTCATATGTTAATTCAATCCTCAGACATAATTTTCCAAACCACTTAATACTAAATTTACAATCAACTAAAAGTATCCTTAACATCTATTCAATCAAATTTCCCTCATTATACAATAACTATTTTTTAACTAAACAAATAATTCCTATTTTTCTATTAAGGAAAGAACCTCTAGTGAACACTGTGATCAAAGAAAATATTTGAGCATAAAAATTTATATTTCAAAGACATTTTATATAATACAACACGCATACAGTATATGCTTTGGTTCGTGTTTCAACTATAGACTGTTCAATTGAAGCTTGCAACTGAGGTCCATACCTGGAGCTGGCAGATGCCCTACCCACAAGGGGTCACAGCTCAAGGTTGAAGAAGCCACAATCCAGAAAACTGTGAGGGCAAACTTTTCGGAGTGAGAGTTGTGAACTCTTGGAACAAACTGCCAGAGTGTGTTGTGACGGCACCGAGAGTGAGCTCTTTCAAGACCAGACTTGACCAACACTGGAGCAGGTTCAGATACATTCAGGAGCCAGTGCATGCCCAGTACTTGCCAACAGTGCGTAACAGAGATGTGACCGACCGCCCATGCGGCTAACGAGCCAATCAGTGGCGAAGAGGATAAAAGTAAAAGCAAAAGAAACTTGTAACCGAGACTTTGGGTTAATTTGTAGTAAAGCAGTTGATTGGCTGGCAGATGGACACAGGAAAAGTCTCTGCAATTCTTTAGTATTTAATATATCATATTTATATTCTGATATTTCAGGGGATAATAACTATTTTCTGTTGATCACTAATAATTTATGCACTTGGGGAAGCAAAAAAGTAACATGTGAAATGCTCTGGTCACATAAATATCTTAAAGAAGACATGAACATGATGAACAAGTTCTGAGACATAAACTCCTCCCCGCCTCGTGATGTCACGCAGCATGGTGGAGGATGTCACAGAAATTTTTTAATCTTTTTCATGTTCTCTTTAAGATATCTGTGTTACCAGAGCATTTTACACGTTACTTTTTTGCTTCCCCAAGTGCAGAAATTATTAGTGATCAACAGAAAATAGTTATTATCCCCTGAAATATCAGAATATACAGTAAAGATGATAGATTAAATACTAAAGAATTGCAGAGACTTTTCCTGTGTCCATCTGCCAGCCAGTCAACTGCTTTACTACAAATTAACCCAAAGCCTCGGTTACAAGTTTCTTTTACTTTTACTTTTATCCTCTTTGCCACTGATTGTCTCATTAGCCACTTGGGCAGCTTGAACAGACTATAGTTGATGACAGAAGTATAACATTCTTAACAATATAACTGAGAAAAATGTGATGTTACAATGCAGGAAACAGGGGAGTATGATATACATATACATTATACTGAACTGACAAAATAACTGAAAATCACTGAAAAAAAAAAGATGGGAAAAATTATAGTAAAATTCAAAATATGAAAACCCAAATGAATAAGGAGAGCCAGAGGTGGTGGCTGGCAGTGATGACGTACCTTGACCTTACCGTTGAGGACCACTGGTGGCTTAGGGCACTTGGGTTTAACACACTTGGGGAGAGGGCGGGACCAGGTTGAATCATCCTTGCAGGTGACGAGAGCATCGCCCACCAACTTGTAGCCATACCCACATTTCACCACCACCTGCTCCCCCGGCCACACCAAAGGTCCACCTTCCACGTGTCCGTTAGGAATGCTGTAACAAGAAAACAAAGTAGAAAAAGTAAGCATAGTCATTAATTTTCATCTAGGTATTTTTCATCATATGTCTTTATTCTCTACAGGATACCTCCCCAGGGATTTACATATGTAGGGGAGGCCCATCCTTCTCCCCAGTGAGTCCCCCTCCCCTTGAGATGCTGCCCCTTCTTTTCTTATTATACAAGTACCTGTATTGTACAATAGTGCTGTAGTTCAGTCGGGATCCATCATCCACAGTGGTAAGTGGGGAAGCATTTTTTATTTTTTTTTATTTTTTTAAATAACCGTACTACTCAAATAACCTTATTGTGCATTCTTTTGTGTTGGGGCAGTTAAATTCCAGGTCAGATAATCTGGAGTAGGCCTACATTCTAAATGAAAAAAGGTTCTCAGTGGAGTATCACAAGGCTCTATCCTAGGACCCACCCTGTTTGTGATCTACACAAATGACGTAGACGAAAAATATCATGCCACATTGTCAAGCTTGCAGACGACATGAGATATTTGGGAAGGATGCAAGACAAGACAATGTCACAACAATGCAGAAAGACCTACATGAGCTGTTTAAATGGTCACAAAACTGGAAAATGCTCTTGAACATTACAAAATGTAAAACCCTACATGTATGCTACAACAACCCTAATCAAAACTATTCTATTAATAGCACTTTCCTGGATACTGTCGATAAGGAAAAAGATCTTGGCATTGTGATATATCATTCACTGTAGGCAGCGCAAGAAGTGGGGATAGCAGTGGGGATAGCAGTGAGAAAACCAATTAAGATTTGGGAATTATAAACCATACCTTTAAATACAAAGATAGGAAAATGCTTCTTGAACTTTACAAATTTAAGTATGTCCAGAATAATTTAACATCCCTCGAAAAGGTACAACACAGAGCGAATAAGATGATTCCTGAACTATGTCATCTCGATTATCCAAGTAGATTGAGGGCCTTAGGACTAACAGCACTTCAGAAAAGGCACAATAGGGCAAATCTCATTGAAACATTCAAAATCCTGAATGGAATGGAAAACATGAATCCGGCACATTTCTTTATGATGTCACCTCTATTTCCACGGTGACCGCACACAGGTAGGTGAAGATAACAGGGCAAAGTATTATAAGTGGACATTAAGGAACAAGTTTATACGGGTCATATATTTTTTTTATACATTGGGTGAATTAAATCTCAAAATTTCAGGGTCATGTCACTTGCCTACTGTAGAATAGAAATAAATAAATAAATATTCTTTGCTATGCAACAATCTGTCTGAATTTCTTTTTTTTGCAACACTAAACACATTTCAATCATTTCTAGCTATTTCCTATTACTGTACCTACACATGTTAGCTTCACCAGGTGTCAGTGATCAGCTTACCTCGGCAGGACACCACAGGTCTCAGACTGACAGCTTGGGGGCTGGTCATCCCACTCACCATCACCCCCACAAGTAAGGGTGTTGGGGCCATCCATCTGGTAGCCTTCTTCACATCTGAAGGAGATCTGGTTACTAGGCATGTAGTCCCCAAGCAATGATAACACCTCCCCATGAGGCACAGCATTCAGGTGGGGGCATTTGATCACTGAAAGGTGAGAGAAAGTTCTTTTAAATTATTATCAGGAAAGGATTATGAATCCAAACTGACTGCCTGTTTTTTATCTTTTAGTATCATAGCAGCTATGGACAATAATGCTTAATATATGAAAATAAATTGAAAAAGCTTAAACTGAGACCAATATAATAAATTTTGCTTTTTATCCTCACGGACTCGGTTAACACGACCTGCATACCCAGCCCAGGTTGCCGTCACCTCACCCACTCTCACAGAGTGCACCTCTCCTGTCAGCGCTCTACCGCCTACCCAAAAATGTTTCAACAAGGCCTCGCATTCTTTTCCCACAATATTTATATGACTTTTATGTGTGTAAAATAAAATACAATTCTTGCAGTTATTGTGAAATGGTAAATGAAAAATCATGCCATACCTTATCATTAAACAGTACCAAAATACATAATAAATATACTGTATAAGGGATCAGAATTAAATGACATTAAGTATAAACAGGGTAATGAACATAAAGTTCACACCCAGACACCAACCATCACAGTAAGGAAGTTCACCACTCCACTCCCCATCAGCCTGGCAGGTCCTGTCGGTACTCCCCTTCAGAAGGAAGCCAGGGTTGCAGGTAAAGCTGATAGTGTCACCATAGCTGTAGCTGTTGCCCTCGATGTGGCCATTCATCAGGTACCCTGGGAAACTGCAGGAGATCCCTGTAGGAGGCAATAAATAAGCAAAACATTAGGATATCAGAGTTCAAAGTTCAAGATAACGTACTTACAAAAACTTGGCATCAGAGCCAACCTCAGAATACAATGCCTGGACCACTTCATGCACTGTACTAAAGTGGTGTAAGCCTTGTGCTTAAGGGAAAAAGTAACAAAACTTAAAAGTAAGAACTAAAATTCATAGTAGTGTAATTTCATATTCTCAATATACTGAACAAAGTCTCTCACTGCTCAATGTAATCCCAACCAAGGGACGGATACTCAAAAGTATTTACAATACAGGTATAATATTTCCCAGCTGATTCTCCAAGTCAACCATTGAGGTTGTAAGTCCTCCCTGAAGTGATATAAAATAATAATAATAATAATAATAATAATAATAATAAATAATAATAATAATAATAATAATAATAATAATAATAATAATAATAATAATAATAATAATAACAATAATAATAATAATAATAATAATAAAATCCACAATCTTGTGATGTTACATATTGTATCTGCAGATCGTAAGCTTACTGGACATTTGAAGCTCTTGTAACAGAATAAACCTCGGACATTGAGTGTGTACAGGTATATCCAGCTTGCATAAACAGTATATGCTATAAAACTATGATAAACCTCATTAAAGTTGTTTTATCAGAGAATACTGCAAATTGTAGGTTTCATATATTATTTCAATGGAAATATTAAAAGAAATAAAATCTAATCAGTTAAAAATGATCTTATAAACAGCCTATGTGTCTGGCAGGCAAGATGGAGTATTGTATATCAATATATATGAAATATATCGAGATTTATGATGAAAAAGGAGGGCCAAGCCCCTTTGGATCCACTTAACATAAATGGTGAACAATTGTTGAGGTACAACATATTTTCTCGGTGTGAAATTTTGAAGCTTTGAGAGGAATTAGACACCTCTTTAGGGCAGAGAACGAAGAGGTCATATGCTGTACCGACTTGCGCCCAATTGTTATTATTATTATTTGTGCATTTCATAATACCTGTATCTGTACATATTTCTTTATTATAAACTGTGTTACTAGTTTCTTGAACTTCTAAGTAACGTATATGATTTTTTTATTGTAAAATACACATACTTATTTCCTTATAAATCTCATGCTCCCAAGCCAGCCAATATTCACAACTTGTAATTGGTTGGTATGTTTTGAAAGTGTAACTGTTATTAGCCAACTGGCCTGCATTAAAACTTACTCAGCAGTGTTTACGTTTGAGTTACAATGCCCTGCTAAAATGGCAAAACAGTTTTGAGTATGAGGGATTTATGATGTTGCAAGCAGTTTGTGAGGTTGAATACTGTAAGTCAGTTGCAAGGTCGCCAATACTGTAAGTTATGATGTGTTTCGAGTATCGGCTCCCAGGATCTTACCTGGAAGAAAATTCCAACTCATTTTACCAAAATCACATTTTAAATAGAAGACTTGCCATAATTCCACCACTAATGTCCTCAGACAGACAGCCACAAGAGACATTTCAACAACACCATGAGCACCATAAGCATTCTCACTAGTCTCCTCATGTATTTTCATATTTTAATTTAAGATAACCAATTCCTCTTACTTAAGATTTATATCAGTATATTCAAAAACATTAGTTATTGTACTCATAGGATGGATTATCATGCTCAAAGAGGTAAATTCTCACGCTAATGGAGTTTGGCCATCATGGTCAAGATTACAGGTTATTACAATCAAGACACCAAAATAAAAGTTAGGTCACTCACGTTGACACTCTGGCTCATCACCAGACCAGGCACCATAGACGAGGCAGGTACGCTCACTGTAGCCACGGTACAGCTTGAAACCCAGGTTACAAGTGATAGTGACTTGTGCCCCTGGCCCTTCACCATTCTCCTGTATGCTACCATCCTGAGGCACTCTTGGGACACCACATCCCCCGCAAAAGCTTGAAACCTTCACCTATGTCAAGAGATTTGATGGGATGAACAAATCATATTTGAAAACGTGTTCATTATTTCTTCATAAACCTTTATGTTTATCACTATGGATACTGCTCTTCCGAGATGGTATTCTTAAGTAAAGTACTGTGATATCTCTGTTAGCTGGAATAATTGGTGCAGAATACTTCCGGAAATGAGAGATTCCCGGGTAACGAGACGACTCTCTCAAAGCCGGAACAAATCCTTCATCCACGGAATTTTCCGAGTAACGGAAAAATTTTCTCGGAAATTCCAAAAATTGACCATTACATCATCTTTCAAACCCGGAAAAATATCCCCCCTCCCTGGAATTTTCTGGAATTTTCAGGGTGACGGAAAAATTTTCTCAGAATTTCTGGAAAATGCACCTGATTTTCATCTCTCAAACCCAGGAAAAAACTCCCCCATTCCCTGAATTTTCTGGAATTCTCCGAGTATCAGGAAAATTTTCTCATAATTTTCCGAAAAATGTGCCCCTCGGAAAACCTTTCCAAAAGCCAGAATTTTCCGGAAAATTTCAGCTTTTGGAACGATTTTCTGAGAAAATTTAAATTCCAACCATCGGAGAGTTCCGAGTTTGAGGTATTCCGGCTAACGGAGATATTGCTGTACCTTGAAGAAAAAAAACTCACGCACACATTATTAAATCTTAAATAATTTATATAAAAAAAAGAAGGTTGTTTCTTCAATAATTACCACGGAAATGTTTTAGTTATATTGCTGTGATTAATGAGCCCCATTTATTTTTGTCATACTTCTCAGCCTTTTCCCACAATCATGCCTGAGTGACCAGAACCAAGAACAACAAGGATAATTCCACAAGTTTCTCCTTTAGCAACAGTTAAAATAGTTCCTCCCCATCTTCCTTTTGTACTTCCTCTTTTCTCTGTAACATATCCCGCCTGGCATTCTTCACAGCCATTTCATTCCTTCCAGAACAGTTGCTTGTTCTCTTTAAAGCCTCTTCACAACCTTTCCCTCATCTTTCGCTTGCTTTACTTTTGCATTCTTTCTCCATTTTTTCATGTTCCTTTTAATCTCCCAATACTGTCCATTTTTCTCCAACCTCTCCCTCTCTGCCCCATCTACACATGTCCATCATGTCTCAATGAAATCTCTAAATTTTTCAACTAGTGCAATTTCTTTCCTGAACTCATTGATTTTTAAAACCTTCTCACTTCTTTTAAATTTCTATCACCCTCAACCTTCCATTAACTATTACTATTGCCTCTACCAAGTAATAGTTAGACACACCAGGTGCTGCGTCCACATGAATCAACTAATAACTCCTCTGTCCAACAATCTCCTATCTTCTCCATTACCCTGCCTCCATGTATGTACACTTAAGAATTTGTTCCCCTTTGAGCCATAATTCCCAATTATGAACATATTATCAGTGTATATCTATATCAATCGCTCTACATTGAAATTTATTCTCACGACTCATATTTACCGATAATAAATGTGAATAAAATAAATAAATAAATAAACATCATCCTATTTCTATAAAGCCATCATCACTGCCGTACAAGACACAACATGGGATCAGAACATGACTTACCGTGATCTGACCCTTGATGCCTGCCTGGAAATCGGGCCAGCCCAGAACAGTACCCATATATCTGTCACAGCGGGTGAAGATGGCCTCCACCTGAGCTGGGGTCAACACCTCCTCCCACACATTCAAAAGAGTCATATCCCCTATGAAGCTCTCCTGGGGATTGTAGTTGCCCCCGCGCTGGTCCTGCTCCTGCCCTAGGACCAGTATCCCTGAACCTGTAGCCGAGAGAGAAGCCATTTGAGTAACTACAGTACTTACCTTTGAAACAAGGATGCTTTATCAGTCTTGTATTACTGAATTATTCTTATCTTAAACTGATTTCCCTTCTATTTAACCAGAAACTCTAACTATCAGTTTTAACAGACAAACATCTTTGTAAGTGCTAAATTTTTCATGGATTCAGCCTCCATACTCACTGTCTATGGTGGTGCCGTTAGCCAACCCAGTCCCACTGTCCTTCGTGGTACCGTCCAGGTAGATGGCCCAGGTGCCATCATGGTTGGTCCAGGTAACACAAACTAGATGCCATTGTCCATTATTGGCAGCCACATCTGTGATCCGCTTTTCTCCATTTATGTATAACACAAACCTGTGGTGTTGAAATTTAATTGAGCTCACTTTTATAAAAAAAAACTCTGTCCTTTGTTCAGATAGCTAAGCATGTCCACTTTACCAAACAGGTATAGTACACACAATATCTATACACAGAACATGATGAGTTTACAGAACATTAATAAGGAGGGCCTGAATGAAAGACACGGGGAGGAGGGAAGCTGGAGAATAAACCATAAACCCTCAGGATTACAGTAGAGGATGAGAAGACCAAGTGACATGTCACTACACAAACAAAGAATCAGATTCATGCCTTTAAAATCACTTTCATGAGTCCACGAATCAAACAAAAATATGGACAACATTTAGAATGAAATGCAGGGAGGAAGGTAGTGGAGGCAAATGCAATCATGTAGAAAGAAATGAGTGTAAATGCGGGAATACAGTAATAAATCAACCCCCAACCCCATGACCTATCTACCCAGGCAGAGGCAGTCAATATAACTGACTACACCACAAACAGTAAAGTGAATGGAATGAATAAGTTTGCTGTTGATAATAATTAAAAGCTTTACATACAAGCACCAACATTTTCCTTGACAAGAGAGAGAGAGACATTGAAAACCCTACTTAAAATCAAAAAATCTGATATAGGAGGTGTTGCAGAACTGTTGTATTAAAGTAAGAGGATTAATCTTGATGAATGCGAGTTTAATATCAATAGTAATGACTCATTTATGAACCTGTAACCTAACCATAATATACATGCTGCAAACATAATGTCCCAGAACCCACCCGTTGTAGTCTGTGATGGTGAAGGCATTATCGTGGTCCTCGGTGGCGTAACTGAAGGGTGTACCATAATTGTCCCGGTCATTGGAGCGCATCCAGAAGCACACGGAGGCCTGTGAAAAGTTATATATGTTATAGTGAAGGAGGGAGAAGAACAGGAGGATGAAGAAAGTGTCTCAAGGAGTGACACAATAGGTAGAAGGAAACAAAGAAAGGAATGATGGAATGAGGGAAGGTGAGAAGGAAATACTGTAACACGGGGAAAAAATGAGGGATGAAGGAAGTGTCTCAAGACGTCACCTGTGATGGCCCAATAAGCTGTCAACATTTCACAACCAAAATCTTCCTGGGATTTCCTTCTAACAGAGATGAGATCATACATATAACCAACTTCCTTTACTTATGCTACAAAAATAGTACCAGTAAAAATTATAACAATACCACACTGACATTTGATCAAGATCAGACGTTTCTCTTATTACCATCTATAGGAAAATTATATTAATAATTTGTTTGAGTATCAGGGTCAAGAGCCAAGCAGCCCTTGTCTTGTTTTCAGTACAGAGGATGAGAAAAATCATCTACTTATTGGAGAGTCATGGTACATTTTTTATGTCAGGCTGGTCATTGTAATCTTTAACACACACACACATGATAAAGGGTACAAGAATATATAATACACAATAGAAACATCACTTAAGTACAGTATGCCCATTTAGAGGTACTGACTGTAATGAACTGTCAGTCAATGTTCTGAAATATTTGCTTGACTCACACTGGTAAGAGGCCCGGGGAAACCTTCATGGGACACGTAGTGAAGGATGCCTGAAGATGGGTATTCCAACATGAAGTTTGTAACCATCTCTGAAGAAGTGATAACAATTAGCTCCCACTTAAAAAGAAAAATAATTATAAGAATCTTACATTACTGCATGATTATTAGTCAATAAAAAAAAAACTTGGAAAAGAAAAACAGTTGATAATGCTATTTACTGTACTGAATGAAAAAATAAATGAGCACATTACTGTATATCTCATTACATTATCTCCAAGTGACAGAGCCTTCTCGGTACTTTGAACAACAACTCCCAGCAGGTCATCACCAGTATCACAGAGCTTTCCAGTGTATCCTGGTGCGCAGGTGCAGGAGAACCCATTCAACCAATCACTGCAAGTGGCACCATTAGTGCAAGGTTGAGATGCACAGTCATCTATGTTAACATCACAAGTGTCGCCTGTGTACCCCGGCTCACACACACACCTGCACCACCAAAAGTCACATTAATACAACTGGTCAAAGTAGTCACAGTGAGATAAGGAGAACATACACATATATGCCCCATGCACATTTGGTTCACACATACCTGGCACCCCCATACACACCTGGCACCCATATACACACCTGGCACCCACACACACACACAGATAAACATAACTGATGCTAATGGTCATGGTGGGATAATTTTGATACACACACACACCTGGCTCACACATGTGCATCTCCCTCCCTCCCCATATATATACTTCTATAAAACTACTATACATTCTCACATGTTCTTCCTCCACTCACCTGAAATCATTAACAAGATCGAGACAGAGACCATTAGTGCAGGGGGAGGACTCGCACTCATTGATGTGGGTCTCACAGAAGCGGCCGGTGTCTCCAGGAGGACAGAGACATGAGAAATCATTGAGGAGGTCCTGGCAGGTGGCCCCAGAAGCACAGGGAGTCCCAGCACACTCATCTATGTCCATGTCACACACCTCACCTGGGGCAGAACAGTACCATAAGCAATATTCATGTGAAACTTTAAATACATTAGTGTCCCTGAATTATCTTCTTATAATGACTGTAAATAAAAGAAATGATGCACAATAGTAGCAGCATGTGAGACTTAGCAGAGACCATAGCATTAAGAGAATTTTGAGGAAGACATAATGCTGACGAGTGATGACTAACTGGTGTTTTCTTGTGGAAGATAAGTATCCTAAGAGACCATTTATGTCATTGGAAAAGTTTTAAAAGAATAAAAAATGTACTGTAATTGTAAATACAACAAAATTAAAGAACTCTATAAAGGGCCCACTGGGGTGTGAAACTAATAATACTGTATGTACAAGACCCTACTTCCAGTTGAGATTACTAAAAATGTGATTTTTTAAGATATGAATAACCTTAATTTCATTTGAAAGAAAAACGAAAGAAATTAAAAAACTGACCTGTATACCCAGACTGACATACACACTTGAAGGCATCAACAAGGTCAACACAGGTGGCACCATTCCTGCAGGGGTTTGGCTCACACTCATTGACATCTACTTCACATTGGGAGCCCAGGAACCCTGGAGTACACTCACAAACGAAGTTGTCCAGTAGGTCAAGACAGGTGGCATTGTTGTAGCAGGGCTCACTCTCACATTCATTCACCTCGGACTCACACTGCTGACCTGTTTATGCAGCCATCAAGTAAAGTAAAAACTGTTGGTTAGCTATAAACATTTCTCCTTGATCACACCAAGGAGGTCTTGTTCTCCTCACTCCAAATATGATTCTCTTGCCAATGTCAATGTACGTTTATAATCACACACAGTACACAACTCTTGTGGCATCTAACTCATATTTTAGAAGGAGAAATAATTATTCATAACACAAAATATTCATTGAAAGAATTTATTCTTTCTACTCAAGTGTGATAAAATACTTTTTTTGCTTTGTGAAATTATGGTGTAATGATAGATGAGCAAGATTATGAGCACCCACTAAAAAATTATTCGGCACCCTTACGACGTGATACAATATGACACGGGTGCCGAATAATTTTTTGTGGGTGTACAATACCATGAACACATAAGCCTGTAGAATCAAGTGACAATGGTAGAGAAGTCAACACAATATATTTTCTGCTCACCAGAGTAGCCAGGAAGACACTGACAGACATAGCCAAAGTCCATGGGGGTGCAAGTGCCTAGATTCTGGCAGGGGACGCTGAAGCAGTCATTTATGGACAACTTCTGAAGATCTGTGTATGCTGCCTGTATCAACATTGAGAGATTATACCATAAATTGAAGCACAGGTGATATTACAGGTAAGTTCTGTGTGTGTGTGTGTGTGTGTGTGTGTGTGTGTGTGTGTGTGTGTGTGTGTGTGTGTGTGTGTGTGTGTGTGTGTGTGTGTGTGTGTGTGTGTGTGTGTGTGTGTGTGTCAATCAAAGGCAAATACACATTGATGCCCTAAAATACATGGATGGACTCCTCAAAGACATTATATATACAGTACGAGGTCTGTCCAAAACGAAACCAAACTTTTTAAAAACCATTTTATTGCTTTACTTACAACTTAATCAGACTTGTCTCCTTCAAAGTACTCCCCTCCACTGTTGATACACCACTACCAACGTTTTTTCCAGTTCTGGAACACATTTTGAGGGATGGTGCGCAGGTCTCGTAGCGAATTTTCTTCTATCATCTGAAGTCGGCGACTATTTCAGGGTGGATTTCAACTTTGGGAACAAAAAAAAGTCCACAGGGGCCAAATCCGGAGAGTAGGGCAGCTGGGGGACGATAGTCATCTCGTGCTTCACCAAAAAGTCACGGATAAGGAGCGAAGCGTGAGCAGGTGCATTGTCATGGTGCAGCATCCAGGTCTTGTTTGTCCACGCCTCAGGCCTCTTCCTTCGCACTGCTTCCCTCAAACACTTCAGGACCTCCAAATAAAACTCTTTATTGATTGTCTGACCACGTGGAACAAACTCATGATGAATGATGCCCTTCCAATCCAAAAAGACGATCAATATCACCTCCACATTTGAGCGACTCTGATGTCCAGATTTGGGTTCGTCTTCGGTAGATGTTCTTCCCTTTTCGAAACGCTGGTACCACACATGACATTGTGTACGGCTCAAACAATCCTCCCCATAAGCCTGTTACAACATTTGAAAAGTCTCCTTAAAAGTTTTCCCAATTTGAAACAGAATTTCACTCAAACACGTTGCTCTTCAAGATCCTTCATTGTTCAACTTGCAACAAATTGCCAAGTGCACTAAACACACGTTCACTCTAGCGCATGTAGCTCGATGACTAATTGACGTGGCGTGATGCAGCTAGTGTTAGACTAAAGGTCAAGGTCACCGCTACACAGCGCTCCCGTCGCGAGCACGCAGCGCCGGCTCGTTGGCGCACTATTTAAAAAGTTTGGTTTCCTTTTGGACAGACCTCATACAATACATAGGTTAAATACAGTAAATTGACACTTGATGAAAATGGAATAAATAAAGTAATAAATAATGAAACCAGGTGTCACAGACTGATACATGTAGAAAATGAATGTCAGAGATTGATAAATGATGGATCTGGGTGTCACAGTAATACAAGAGTAAGGTTAATACTATTGTACTCGACAAGATTACTTCCCTAATAACACACCAAATTAATATCACATGGGTAAAATAACCGAGCAGTGCGATCAACCAATGTGGAGTCTGGTAGTGTTACAGGAGGGATGTTGGGGTCATGCAGTGTTACAAGGGGATGTGGGAGTCATGCAGTGTTACAGGAGGGATGTGGGGTCATGCAGTGTTACAGGAGGGATGTGAGAGTCATGCAGTGTTACAGGAGGGATGTGGGGTCATGCAGTGTTACAGGAGGGTGGGGTCATGCAGTGTTACAGGAGGGATGTGAGGTCATGCAGTGTGGGATGTGGGGTCATGCAGTGTTACAGGAGGGATGTGGGGTCATGCAGTGTTGTGTGGGGTCATGCAGTGTTACAGGAGGGATGTGGGGTCATGCAGTGTTACAGGAGGGATGTGGGGTCATGCAGTGTTACAGGAGGGATGTGGGGTCATGCAGTGTTACAGGAGGGGTGTGGGGTCATGCAGTGTTACAGGAGGGGTCATGTTTTGGAATCACAGTGGGGTGCTGATCTACCTGGGAGTCCCTGCTCACACCTTGACAGTCGTAGAGGGAGCCAGACCCAGACCCAGGGGTGTGAGCTCCATCTGGACACCTGTAGGGTAGACCAAACAGACAGGTATATAATGATGGAATGTCATAAACTTACAGCAGTGAGGAGTTCACTTATACAATAGGCTCACACAAAACATCACTAATGAAGTTAGCTATAGTGTATTGTGAGCTCTCAACATTGGCAGGGTTATCTATACTGTAAGCTCAAAATAATAATGGGGTTTAGTAAGCATATAAGACACTAGTAATGTGCTCAATTATACTGCAAGTTTAAAATATCAACTGGGTCAAAAACTGATGAGGTTATGAGAATTATTTCAAGAGTCAGGTGGTTTGGTCATACCTGAAACACTCGGTCTTGCCAGGGTCACTCTGGAAGAAGCCTGGGGGACATGCAAAACATGGCTCCAGCCCTGTCTCTGACACTTCACCACTCCCACACATAGCTGATCATAAAGAAAAAAGAAATATAAAATAAATACACAAACATATTGAAGAAATTAAAATAATAGCCTCTACCAATAATGAAAAAAATAATAAAAATCACACAGCCATTATATTTCTCCCAAGTTCTACAATATCTTACACTCTCTCATACAATCCCCGAAATTATAAGTCCCATCAAAAGTCCTTTTTAGTTTTATATTCTCCTTAACTCCCTAAAGTTGTATGTGCTCCCCTTGAAGTTCTTAAAGTTTCCAATTCCACCTGATTTCCTCAGATTCAATTTTCTTACCCTAAAATTTTACTTATATCAGTACTCTGTGGTTCTCCAAGATGAGAAATAAATTGTAACTTGCAGTACTTATTCATTATTTGTACTTTATTTACCTAATAGCCACCCAGGGGCATACCTAGTGGGTGACAGAAGGGACAGTCGCCATGGGTGCCAAAGTAAGGGAGGCGCCAAATTGCCTATGAATTTTTTTAAATATATTTTTCAAAGGAAGATAAGACGAAAAGATTACTCTAGCAGAAAAGCCTGTACTACTGCTATACTGGATAGGTTAATTCATAATCTCCAATTTATAAATACCTAGTATTAAATATTTATTATTAACAGAGACGTGACCGATCGCCCAAGCGGCTAACGAGCCGATCAGTGGCGAAGAGGATAAAAGTAAAAGTAACACTTTATATGATATAACATTATTTTGGTGGTGACTGGCAACCCGTCTGGCGCCCCATGTGTCTGTTTGCTGCCGAGCGGCGCCGCCGTCATTAGCCTACTCATCACTCTTTCGTCACGTGTTGCAGCTGGACAGTGAGCTCTGGCAAATTTAATCATATCAATGTAAGTTTGTCTTATTTTTTATAGGATTCTCTCTTACTTGCTTGCTTGCTTACTTACTTACTGACCTTTCTTACTGGATTCAGTAGGATAATCTACAAAAAAAAATTTTGATAGCAAAGACACTATACCTAATTTCGTGCAGTCCACAAGATAAGCTGAGCTGTGCCTCTGGTTATTGTAAAAACTTAATTTTAGTGGCTTTTCTTTTGTGTGATTTTCATTGTATGTGTTATTGTATATTTTGAGCATAAAATTGCTGATTACTAATAGATAATTATTCCAGTATTTTCTTAACTGAATGTAGACTGTGTGATTTGAGCAGCAAATTGGCGATTCCTTATAGAGAATTATTCCAGTTCCTGAAGTTAATTTATTCAAGCCTTGATACAACCATAAAATTATACATCATCACTAGTGTCTTAGCAATCCCTTATTTACTATTATGCTACATTACTTATATGAATTAAAATTTAGTTGATATAATTATTTGTGGTGGAAGTGAGGTTGTGGGGAGTGGAGAGTTAATGGTGGTGGGGAGGCGTAAAGGGAGGGGGGCCGCCAAATTCAGCCATTGCCCTGGGCGCCAGCAAGGCTGGTTACAGCCCTGTAGCTACCCACTAGAGGTGGCCATGCAGAGGGAAAGGAGGCCAATGGCCAGACTTGACCAACACTGGAGCAGGGTCCAATATCAGAGATGTGACCGACCGCCCAAGCGGCTAACGAGCCGACCATTGGCAAAGAGGATAAAAGTAGAAGTGAAGTAAAAAGTGTAGAATCCATCCATTGTTCTTGATAATTTTGTCAATGGTTATTTGAAGCCCAGTACTGTTAATATAAGCAGCTTTGAAATACTTAACCTTTCCTTGCTGCAGAGTACAGAATTTATGAGCATCTCAATAGTGGAGAAGAGGATAAAAGTATGTGTACCTAGAAATTTTTGGTGGGGGCAAAGGCTCAAATTTTCAGACAAAATAAGTGACAAGATGCTGTTCATCAACCATCTATCCCATCAAGCATAAAAATATGCAGGCAAATTAAAGAATCTACTATGTATGAGGAACACACCTGACAATAGTGTTACACAAAGGCATAACAAGTACTGTACTCCAGAAGATCCCCATGATCCCTTGGTACAGCCTCTCCTTCGCCAAATTCTCTCAATTGAAAGAACTTCCTTTGATTAAAATTCATAAATCATCTTCAGCACCTTGCAACTTGTCTTTGTCGAAGAGAGTGCCTCGAGTACACTAACTGCATTACTGTTTATCTTATTTTGAGGTCAGTGATAATAGTGTTCAACATACTGTTATAAGCTTCTATTCTAAATTTCTGTTAAATAGTTATAGGCTCATCATCAGCGAATAGTTTTCTTTTCAAAATTCTTTTCTCTTCAAAAAATTCTGCAGGAATATCAAGTGAATTGCATTGATGTTTGGCTTTGGCAAGGATGGTTACAAAATGCTTTTAATAACTATGCATCCTCTCTCTGTCAAACAGACAGAAATGCTCAACCACAGTATCCAGTAAAGGTGAGCCTCTCTGGCAATTCTGATACACCCTTCTTTGCAAGGTTGATAAACTGGATCAATACAAGCAGTAAGCCTTTCAAACACTCATCAAATTTTCTGGCAGAAGGAGAAATTTTCCAACAAAATCTTTTCTGATCTCAGCTCAATATATCAGGCCCATAACCATCATGTCTGTATCCACAATAAAGTACCATTGTTACTCACAATTACACTCGTGTATGAGCCAGCTGCCACGTCGCCAGGTGGTGGTATCATGAGGACAAGAGGCGCACGTGAGAGAGGCATACTCATCCTGATAGCGACCTATTTCACAGGTGGTGCATGGCTCCAACCCATCCTCAGAGTAAGACCCAGGCAGACACTGAGCTGGAGAATGATGTCAAAGAGAGATACAGTATCAGGTTATAACAACACTTCTTAATACTTTTTACATTTTTACTTTTATCTTGTCTAATCTAACCTGATTTAACTTAATTTATTTAAACATGACAATAACTATATCAAACCTGACCTAATTTAGTCAATTCTAAACCTTAATGAATTTATCCTGGCTTGAACTGATCAAACCTATAGCTAACCATATATCTTAACTCAAACAAACCTAATCTAACAAATGGAGATATATTGGTAAAAACAGTGTCGGCGTATCTTAATGAGTAAAGCAAAAGTTACCCTTCATCCAACTAAATTCATTTGACCAACAACTAAAAAAAAAAAATGGTAACCAAAGTAAACCTTTGCACTCCTGGTCACTCTTGGCATTGCCAGTCTTGGTGGAGGTGTTCTCAGGGCAGACAAGACAAGACACCTGACCCTCTTGGGGCTGGAAGGACCCCTGGGGGCATGGCAGGCACTCACGCAACACCACGTTGAAGAAGGTCCCAACTGGGCATTTGACTGGCAGAAAAACACCATAGGTCAGGGATTACTGGTATGTTGAAGGATAAAACTTAAAATTATTGAAGAACCTGAAGTACCTAAATAAAAAATTACTAAGGAATACAATGTAGTTCTAATGTAACAGCAGACATGAAGATGCCTAGAACATAAAAATATGATGCACTTAAAACATAAAATAAATTAAAACTGTTATGTACATAAAGCATGAAATCACAGAGAAATGTGACATCCATACACCTTGGAATACAAAATACCTAAAACATGAAACCAATGGGAAATATGACCTACTCTAGTCCATCTCTGTCAAGAATTTTCACAAGTTCAATGCTGACTCACCTGGAGTACGGCAACTCTGCTTCGTTGATATGACAAAAACTGTCAATTGATAAAGATTGTACACAAGAGGCTACCAAACTGGTTTCAACATTCCCATAACTCACTTACCCAGAGAGAAGACTGTTTACAGTTGCTTAATACAGTACCTGTATATACTACAGAAGGAGTGATATAATAGACGTGTATACGTGCCTCAAAAGGCAATACTCAGTTAAGTGTACATATCTGGAACTAGCAGAGGTCTGCCCCACAATTCCACAAGAGGTCACAACTATAAATTAACAAAAACATCAGTATAGAAAACTATTAGTTAACTTTTTTGAAGTAACAGTTGTAAACTCTTAGAAGAACTTGCCAGAGAATCTTGTGACAACACCAAGCATAAGTTCATGTTGGACCCCTATATATCCAGTACTTGCCAACAGTAAGCAACAGAGAACTGACTGACTGACTGACTGACTGGCGAGTAAGTTGAGAAGTGGCAAAGAGGACAAGAGTAAAAACAGAAAAGCCATACAATGTACCTAAAATGTAAAACAAATGAGAACTGTGAAGTAATTGAGGTGTGAGGGACATGACCTACCACACTGGTTGTCCCGGGGCACACTGCCTGCCTCACAGATGTATTCGGGGAACTCCTTCAACCTAATGGCCGCCACTCGCAACTGATGCTGTCCAAAATTCACGTCCAGCTGCCCCGTCTCCGCTGCTTCCAATATCCCTCCCATGGCTCCCTTCAGCTGATCTGTGGCTCCTGTTCCATGGCCTGGGGGTGAAGGAGAGTGAGGTGAGTGGGAAGGGAGGTAGGGTGAGGAGGGTGACAAGGGAAGAGAGGTAGGGTGAGGAGGGTGACAAGAGAAGGGAGGCAGGGTGAGGAGGGAAGGGAGGTTAAGTGAAGAGGGTGACAAGAGAAGGGAGGCAGGGTGAGGAGGGAAGGGAGGTTAAGTGAAGAGGGTGAAATGGAAATGAGGGAACTAGTGAGAAGTGAGAGAAAAGGGGTGTGAAAGATAGAAAGGAATTATTGAGAGAGAGAGAGGAAGGAGAAGCAGTAATAGGTGGAAAATAAAGTGATATGTGTGGTATACTTGAAGTGGAGTGAGAAATAAAAAGATGAACAATAAGAAGATAGTAAGAAGTGAGAGATACTGTAAAAAGATGAATGAGAAGTCAACAATGAGTGTTACATAATCAATTTAAAAATATGCTGTACACTAGTATTACTATAAAACAGAAACTCTGAACACGCACGCACGCACGCACGCACGCACGCACGCACACACGCACGCACGCACGCACGCACGCACGCACACACACACACACACACACACACACACACACACACACACACACACACACACACACACACACACACACACACACACACACACACACACACACACACACACACACACACACACACACACACACACACACACACACACACACACACACACACACACACACACACACACACACACACACACACACACTGACTGATTAACTTCACTCAATCACTCACCTTCAACTCTGAACCGCACTTTGAAAGCCTTCTTTTTGAATCCCTCTCCATCCTGTGAGGAATGAGACACATCATAGTCATGGGAAGCCGAACCCACGCCATGGCTGCCTGATCTGAACAACGAAGTCTGTTCCGTAGCCCCATTACCATCGTCCCCACCCAGGCCAGGGATTTGTCCAGCATCACGAGTGGTCCAGGTGTGTTCCTGAGCTGAGGAGGAGTGAGTGAAGATTGAGCGTTGGTCCTTGCCTGGGAACATGATGGAGTCTTGGTCCCTCTCCGTGTGATTCCTGGCAGTATCTTGGCTCATTAGACCAGAGATCTTCATGCCACTTAGCTTCTTGACGGCCAGCTCCCGCAGTGCCTCTGCCTTATTTTCCCCAAACTCACGAGAGAAGGCTAATAAGAAGTCCTCGGTGGTGTAGTCCCCATTTTCAGACTCTAGATTGGAGAGGAACGACCCAAAACGAACGAAGCCAATGTCCGAAGCCATTGATCGTGTGATGACGTCAATCAGGACACCGAGATAGCTATCCTCTGAATGCTTGTATGAACGATGAGGAGCCTCAGTTGTGGCACTGCTGCCAAACAGGTGGTCCAGAGAGAAGCCGAATTGTCGTTTGTGTCGTTCAGTGTTTTCAAAATCCTTAAACTCGTGCAACAAAGAAGTTTCCCTTTTTACTCTCTGCATCTTGGTTGAGTCCACACCGTCCCCCCGCTTCCAGTACACCCAGTCACCATCAACAGATTGGTCATCCTCCCCAGGCCAGAAAGATGAGACCTCATGAATAGATCGCCTCCCCCTATAGAAGTCAATAGAGTTGAAATTTTCCTCGGCCTCTGCCAGGATGTTCTCACAGACAGCTTCCACAGCAGCCACTTCACACACTACGTCCTCCTCGCACATTTTGTTCAGCGCCTCCTCCAGCTTCTTCTCAAGCTGATTCTCCACCTGTTAAAATAGGTAACACATTTATTGATATCTATTTCACTTATACTGTACTAAAGTAGATAATACCACTGATGCATGTCCTGTATCTGTAATGAGACACACAAACTAGTCAATGTTGTTATTTGCACTTAACTGTCACTCATTTTGTATCAGCTTCCCATTAAAACTTATCAAGCTGATACTACAGGGCGATGGAAACTATTCACTCACTCATGACCATACACTCACTGGTCCTGCTCTATCTATCTTAATAATATGTTGGCATACTGTCCTAAATGTTCTATAACACCTCATCCTTGATCCCACCCTCACTGTTCTAAGCTCAACTTATATGAACTTCTTCAATAACTTATGGAAACTGAATGACCCAGACCTTTGAACTGTGTCCATATTGTACTGTTGCCCCACACAGTACAACTCATCGACTCACCATACATTCAACATTAACTCAACATAACTTCCATTAAAGATCTCTAGAAGGAATCAGATGCTGTCACTGAATACCCGAGGTCTCGTGGTTTCACACTCACATGAAACAATGGCTAAAATAACAACAAATTACAATGCTATCAATCTTATACTGTAAGTACACATTACCATGGTTTTAAATACATTATGCTGGATCTTTGTGTGCTCTTAGGCAGGCGCAAAATGGCTGGAGGTCATATAGGCCTCAGTCCTATAAGACCCTAATCTAGCATAGCCATTAGGACTGTAGCCCATTAGCACCAGGTTCCAAGCCTATTGGTTCAGTTAGATTAAGAAGGGTTATGATTTATTAGGCCTGGGGCCCATTTGATCAATTATCAAAGGAGGAAGGTGTGGCCTCACCTGGTCCATAAAGAAGATGTCCATGGCCATCTCTCCTGCCCGGGAGATGCTGTTTGATACTGATGTCACTGAAATGTGTCCCAACAATATGTTAAAATAAAAAAATAATTGAATACACACAGCCATGCATGCAAGCACACACAAACATGAATGCTTGTATGCACACATACATACACATGGATGCATGTATGCACACATACGCACATACACATGGATGAATGTATGCACACATACATGATGCATGTATGCATACATAAAAGCATGCAAGTACACACAAATGCATCATGCACACACAAATATTTAATTCCTTCAAGCATTTTCCCACTATCTATCTATCTATCTATCTAGCACACACACACACACACACACACACACACACACACACACACACACACACACACACACACACACACACACACACACACACACACACACACACACACACACACACACACACACACACACACACACACACGCACACACACACACGCACACACACACACACACACACACACGCACACTAAACAATATGACACACCCCCTCCCCTTCCTTAGCCATCTCACCAATGTTGACGCAGCTGAGCAAACAAATAACCATTTCGCTACTATATGCCAGACGCTCCCACGGCTCGACACAACCACTCTCCCTGCTTACCTACCAGCCCCCCTTCCCACTGACTTAGTAGAAGAATTTGAGGTAGCAAAACGCCTGGACAAACTAAAATTAAAACGCTCTACCACCCCCATTGACTTACCAATGAAACTATTCAAGGAGTTCTCCCCGGAGCTTGCTAAACCCCTCTGCTCCATCATCAATGCTTCTCTCAGTCAAGCCAGATGCCCAGCTGACTGGAAGACCTCTTATGTATCACCAGTGCCCAAGTCAACCAGCCCACAATCCTTAAATCAGCTACGACCTATTGCAATCACCCCAATACCCAGCCTAATCTGTGAAAGTTTTGTGTTTGACTGGGCTTATGCTGATATTGCAGAGTCGTAGACCCTCAGCAATTTGGCAACATGAAAACTTCCTCCACTCACTGTCTTGTCAGCTTTCTCGATTACATATACCGCCATCTCGAGAAACGAAAAACGTCTGTAGCTGTCGCCTTCATTGATTTCACTAAAGCGTTCGACCTAGTCGACCACAATATAATCATAAACAAAGCTATTGACCTCGGGCTTCGGAGAAGTCTCATACCATGGCTTACAGACTTCCTCAGTGACCGACGCCAAGCTGTACGCTTCCGAGGGGCTGTCTCCACCTTTCAGTCACTCACCTGTGGCGTCCCCCAAGGCACCAAGATGGGACCACTCTGCTTCCTTATGCTCATCAATGATGCCCTAAGAGAAACCCCTGCTCGCTGGAAATATGTCGACGACTCCACCATTGGGATCAGCGTCAACAATTCTGCTCCCAACTATACCGCCCTCAGGATTTATTGAACAGTCTCCAAAACTGGGCCACCAACAACCATGTCACCATCAACCATACCAAGACCATGGTTATGCACATCAACCTCTCCTCCGACATTGTCCCACCTCCTTCCATTACCCTAGGTCCGAACACACTCCAGGTTGTAGATTCCACAGCTCCTCGGCGTCACCATAGACAACAAACTAAATTGGAAACCACACGTCAGTGAAGTTGTCAAATCCTCCAGTTTCCGTCTCCACCTCTCCGCCGACTCAAGTCCCTCGGAGTTCCTGCACACGAGCTCCTCAGTGTATACACAACATTCATACTTCCCAAGCTCACCTATGCCTCCCCCACCTGGTCTTCCTCCCTAAATGCCACACAACGTAAACACCTAGAAAAAGTGCAAAAGAGGGCATGCAAGATTATTCTCGCCCCTTCCTACTCCACATATCAAGAAGCGCTCAACACACTGACCCTTTCGACTCTCACTGACCATCACCACGGCCTCATCTGCAAATTTGGTAAGAAGCTTCTACACCACCCCCGACACCGGCCCCTACTACCACCTGAGATCCCCTGTCCGAGAATTGCTGTTCGACACCACAACCGCATCCAGCCCATACGTGCACGAACTGATCGCTATAAGAACAGCCCAATCCCAACCATTGTAAAAATTATCAATAACATGTAATAAATCAGTGTATTCACTCCCAGTAAACACTGCTCCCTACACTGTCACTATGTTGAAATGAACTGTAGTTTGAGCTGATCCCCATCTAAGTTACTATATGTCTTATTTGTGTCACTTATGTCACTTGTATATTATTGTAATTCGTAACCCATTCCCCAAATATGTAACTGTATATTTTCAGCCTTCTGGCTGCCAAGCTCTTTCAATAAACGTTAATTATTATTATTATTATTACACACACACGCACACACACATGTACTGTACTTCACTCTATAAAATCTTAAGGCAGTAAATCCAACAATTTCCAATTTATATCATATACTGTATTCTCAATACCTCCCACATTGCTTTTGTCTATCACATGTGATCATGAACAGTATTCTTCTCCTTGACTCCTCTTCTTTTTTCTATTATGATAATGGCTACTACTTGGAGTTACTTATTAGTATTTTTGTCTCCCTTTTCACTTTTCTGATGAACTTCAAGTGATGTTCAAAATACATGCTATTCTTTACACAAAGAGAAAAGTAGACTCACCAGAACAGTCTGGGAAGGGCATGGGGTTGTCATCGGGAAGCCAGACACCATCATAGGCACAGAAGTAGTCCTGGCGAGGACGCATGGCAAAGGCATAGCCGTCATCGCAGATCAGCGTGCAGAACACAGCCTCAGGATTCTCAGTACAGTTGGCAGCACCGTTGATGGGGTCCACGGGAAGCTGACATGCGTGTTCTGCCCAGATGCACAGTAGTTTAGAGAGGGATGGAAGAAGGATGAGAAAGCAAAGGAGATCAAGAGAGATAGGAAGATAAATTCATTGAGAGGTAATGGTGGTTTGATTTAATAAGTTGTGTAACAGGAACATCCCCTCTGAAGTATAGTATACATACACCTTTATCATTATATCATGAAGATACAACCATATACTCATCTCCAAATTCCATCACAGGAGTCTAGTAGATTTAAAAGTTTCACAAGCAGAATTTCTGCACTGCACATCTAGCTAACATAAAATACAGTATCAAAGTTTAAAGTGCATGAATATCTCACAGCAATTAACTCTTCAGATCCACTAGCTCAACAAATGTCCCTTCCACTACCTTTAAAATTCTGGGATTTATTATAAAATTCTAAAGAGCAGCTGTACAGAATACAGTGCCCCTACAAGTTCCTCTGAACAGTCCTCAAGATATGTCTCCAAGAGGTGAACTAAAGAAGAAAGCACCTCTTGACTCTACCTCTTACCTAGATAGTGATGGTTACTGTATATCTTACCAAGATAGTGATGGTTACTTTGAGTTCACCCTGACAGTGATGATGCTAAAAATTTAAAGACTTACCCCCTAGAGTTGACATAAGGAGTACAGAGCACCTTAACATCACTTGCTCTTACATTAGATTGTCCTTAAGTTACCTTCAAGAATCAACCTAAAGAGGAGAGGACCTCTGACCCTGTCATGTCCTTACTCTGAACAGTGATGGTGATGTTACAGGAGGCTACGTTGCCAGCCTCATCCACAGCCCAATACTCCACCATGGAGTCACCCTGTGGGAACTGTCCAGGCTCCAGTGACCGTGATACCTGCAATGACAACCTAGTGTTAAATGTCAGGTTCTTGTAACTCTCTGAAGCAAGGATTATTTGTCAGTTTCAAGAATCTTTGTTCCAGTTTGTGTAGAGAGACTGTTTTTTTTTTTTTTTATTTGTTTTTTTTTTGGGGTGTGTGTGTGTGTGTAAAAATTTCATCACCATTTAGGGTAGTCATAGCTATAGGACACTTGAGATAAAAAATATCACTGAAGTGTTATTACCAAGACAGAACACCAATAGTAACCATCGATTTCCTCCTCTGGCTGACCTGAACTTCAGCGCCGGAGTTATCAGAGAAGACGGGCTCCTCCCAGTACACGTCAACATTCTCTTCATGTGAAAGGAAGATGGGCGGAGAGTCACACCAGTCCACACGGGGCGGCTCCTTGTCTGAAGGGGAGATAAATCCAATATGCATGAATGAATCAATAATCAGAATGCTCTTATTCCACTCCAAGTTAATGGAAATAATCTACATCAGAGACTGTTTTTGTGTGTGTGTGTGTAAAAATTTCATCACCATTTAGGTAGTCATAGCTATAGGACACTTGGACTAAGCTTAAGATAAAAAAATCACATCAGTGTTATTACCAAGACAGACTAAAGTTTATTATCTGGAGTCACTGACACCTAAAACTTTTCTGTTGGGCATAAACATAAGCATTCCTATCCTAGCCTGAAAATGTACTTCAATGGAGGGTCAGGGTCACCAACCTTCAGGTGGGAAAGCGAGCACCTTGAATGACACACTGATTGAGGGAGTAAACAAAAGACACGACTCTTTCTTACCCAGGACGGTGATGGAGAACTGGCAGTTGGCCTTGTTACCCAGCTTATCCTTGGCTATGTAAGTGATGGTGTGGGTGCCAATGTTGAGCTTCATGGGCTGTGTGGTGGCTGGGATGGTGGCCAGCCGCACCTCATCTTTGGAGTTGTCTGAGGGAGAAAACACACACAAACAGCAGATAATGATTGGTACAGTAGAAGGTTTATTTCACTACAATGGTTTCAATATAATTCTATATCACATTAAGAAATTAAATAGTCTTTAGTTCACTCTAGGGTTATATACATAATTACAGTTCACTCTGGGGAGCTAACCAAGCTTCTAGTTCACTCTGGAGGTTAGCAGGTTTCTAGTTTCTTCTAATAAACATAAGTTTTCTAATTCACCCGTTGGGATCTGAGAGGTAAGAAGATTTTTAATTCACTCTAGAGAGCTTATCAGTTTTTAATTTACTCCTTGGATGACACCTCAATAAGAGTATTGTCGTGGCCTACTGTTGAAGAGCTTTGAAAATGCTAATCCATCATCCCACTTGCCTTTCACAAAGGGGGCGTCCCAGGTGATCCTGGCGAAACCCTCGTGCGGCTCTGTTGCCACTGTCATCTTTTCCGGACACTGGATCACTGGTGGTGTTACATCTGAGGAGGGCAGGAAGGGGCTAGTGAAGGTGAGCTCCCTGGTGTAGACAGTGTGATACTTAATAGTGCTGTGAGTACATTATATGATGACAGTGGCAAGGAAATGGTTACACGGGGACTCTTGTCTTGTTTCAATTTATCCACCACACCAACCACCACTTATACAAAAAGTTTTGTCTATTGAAATTTCCTATTGACTACCAAAATTTTCCTCTTAGAGTTTACTTCTAATTTAGAAGCAAGTTTTAATACTGCAAAAAGAGATCTGGTGCAAAAAAAAAAAAAAAATTAATATGTTTGATATAAAAGCTGCTAAAATGTGACATGGTCAATATTACTATATGAGTTGGCAGTGTAGATATTTCAACAGATACCTGGAGGAGACTTGAGGCTTTGAAAAATAAGGTGTTACAAGAAAATGCCTGAAATCAGTTTTACTAATAGAAAAATTTAAACTCCTAAGACTGGCTACAGCACTGAGAATGATAGTGGAGATTTATAGACTAATGTACAGCAACAATACACATATCTTTCGCTACTATGTCCTGGATTCAATCCCCTGCCTAAGACAAATGTGAGAAGGGTGTTATTCAGTTTCCTCCTGTACAAACACTGGTTGATAAAGGTCATACCAAAGTAACAAAGAACATACCAACTGCCTAAATGGCTAGTAAGCTGATAAATGGTGAAATGATATATATATATATATATATATATATATATATATATATATATATATATATATATATATATATATATATATATATATATATATATATATATATATATATATATATATATATATATATATAATATATATATAATAAATGGGTAAAACTGAGGGTTGGAAGGCCGGGGATGTGCCAAAAAAAAAATTCTAGAGATGGTCCCTGGAAAAATACGTATCTGGAAGAATTGGAAATGACAACCTGCAAATAGTTCCGAGTGGAGGGCCATAGTTGCGAACCCTGAAGCATAAGGACAAGACGTGAAATGATTGAAAAATTTTAAAAGGGCTTTAGTCTTTTTAAGTTGTTTGTCTTTTAAGGGGATTTTAGCCTTGTATAGGGACTTTCATTTCTTGAAGAATTAAATTTTAACCCTGAAACTTTTGAAGAAAAATTTTAAATCTAGATATAAAACTATCCACTGTGTTACTAATGCTGTAGCAAGTGGTGCTCTTAGCTGACTAAAAGGGGCATAGTGGGGTACACTTGGAGGTCTTGTGAAACTCACCTATACATCTGTGAGTCTTGTGACACTCACCTAAACAAGTGGAGGTCTTGTGACACTCACCTAAACAAGTGGAGGTCTTGTGAAACTCACCTATACACCTGTGAGTCTTGTGACACTCACCTAACCAAGTGGAGGTCTTGTGACACTCACCTTTACACCTGGGGCTCTTCTGGCCACTAGACCAGACACCAGGGTCAACACAGGTGGTCTTAATGGGACCACTCAGCTGGTAGCCGGGATCACAGGCAAACTCACACCTGGTGCCATACTTGGACTTGGTGGTGAAGCAGGTGGAGGAGCGCACTTGACCATGGCGCAGAGGAGGCAACTTTGGGCAGAAGATGGCTGTCGGAAGGAAGGAACAAATGTGATTCACTTGTGGCAGTCTGAAGGAGGCAACAAATGGACAGGATCAAATTGTGTAAAGTAACATGAACAGCTGGACAGTGATGTATCACAGTGCATACGGTCAGATGTAAACAAGTTCAGGCTAAGATATCGAGTTGAACAAGAGGGGATTAGGTAAGAAGTGTTATGAGTGGGTAAGGTGAGATATGGGAGGGTGGACTAAGACCCATAAGGGTTGAACCAAGGTATGATTCAAAGACATGGGTTTGAAGGGGAAGAAAATACACAAATACAAGATTCTCAGTCAATAAACCCATGGAAAAAATTACATGGAAAGAGGAAATGTGGCCATTTGTGTTAAGCTCTCCCATGCAAGTTTCACCATTGAAATGTTATTTGCCATACCATCAATCTTACACTCATGATAGCCTACCCTTCCACTTAGGTAACTCATGATAGCCTACCCTTCCACTTAGGTAACTCATGATAGCCTACCCTTCCACTTAGGTAACTCATGATAGCCTACCCTTCCACTTAGGTAACTCATGACAGCCTACCCTTCCACTTAGGTAACTCATGATACCCTACCCTTCCACTTACATAACTCATGATAGCCTACCCTTCCACTTAGGTAACTCATGACAGCCTACCCTTCCACTTAGGTATCTCATGATAGTCTACCCTTCAAATTCAGTGACTCACAATAGCCTACACTTAGGTGACCCACGATAGCTTACCCTTCAACTAAGGTGACTCATAATTGTCAGCCCTACATCTTAGGTGAGTCATGACTATTGTACCTACCCTTTATCTTAGGTAACTCAAAATTATCAGCCCTACATCTTAAGTGAGTCATAACTGCCTACCTTTCTTCTTAGGTGACTCAAGATTGCCAATGTACATCCTATAGACATCAATCTCTCTACCTAACACCCACCACCCATGGGGAGACTCACGCTTGCAGTAGGCAGGGATGCCGTCCCACATAGCAACGGGGAGACAGGTTCTCGTCTTGGAGCCAACCAGCTGGAAGCCGGGGTCACAGGCGAAGTGGCACTCGGTGTCCATGGTGGGGCGAGACTGTGAGCACACCATCGTCCCATGCTCCGTGGGCTGGAGCTCAGGGCATGACTTCACTGTCAACCGAATGTGGTCGTTTTAGTAATGTACCTCATTGTCAACCCAATATAATGTAGTTACTGCTTTTTTTAAGTATTTTACAGTACATTTCAAGTCATTTTTTGACAAATAAAATCTAAGTGACAGTGGGAAGTATGTGCTTGATGATTTAATTGATGGAAGTGATGGTGAAATATAAGTGTAAGTGTTTAATGTAAAGTAGTGATAAAAAAAAATTTAGTCAGTTACTTGTTGTAAGTAGTGGAAAGTATGAGAGTGATCAGTTACACTGTTACAGTACGGGTGTTTATAAGTAGCTGTGAAGTGTCTGGTGCAGTTTTTTCACAAGTTTGGTGTAAAGGTATTCAATCAGTTTGTTATGACTGATGAAACTCAGTTAATACAGCAACATAATCAACAGCTGATATACTGTACTAATACTGTAAACTGAGTTCATGGTTACAGTACATTGATGGAGTGGAATGTTTGGGCTGGATGATCTGTGGACTCTGAAAGACTCTTATAATATTATAATTTTTTCCCTATAACAACTAGGGTCAAGAGAACACATCTGTCTATGGTAATGCCTTGGTCATGTTACAACGTCTTTTTGGTGGTCATCTTTGTGTGACATAGTAAGGCAAGCAGGTTTGTCACACAGTGTGAGTCAAGTAAATATATAAACATATTAGATATTGAAAATGTGTTCCAGAAATATAGGATCTAAGACACTGTGTGATACTGACTGGTACACTGGGCGTCCCCGCCACTCCACACGCCATCCTCGCCACACAGTCTGATTGAGGAACCCCTGAGGGTGAAGCCTGGGTTACAGCGGACACCACAGGCTGCATTCACCACATTGTTGCATGTGTTGCGCACGAAGTAACCATTCTCCGGAGGCTCCAGTGCTGGGCATTGCAACACTACCAGAAGAACAAGTCAGTCTCTTGCCAAGAATCAACACCACAAAACTCACTATAGACACATTTCATCCTAACTTAACTTACTAACATGTACTGAGGAGTAAATAACTAAAACTGAAAACTCTACTGTATAAGTGTTTATATAATAACACAACATAGAATGTAGACTTACTGACACACTGCATGCCGACCTGGTTGAACCCCCGCTTACAGTAGCACTGTTGAGATGAAGTAGACCCTGGGGCACTCATCATGTGGAGGTCTGGACACCGCTTACAAGAGGACACATCCCCTGGCCCTTGCGTGTTCTTGTACGTCCCTGCTGGACACGCTGTACCATACCAATTAGGCAGCAGATATATTACTATACTGTAGTTACACAAAAATTTGCATACAGCAATTTCCAGATTATCATTGTTCAAAACATTTCTTATTCTCTGGCATACTGTACATATTATTAGTGTCAAGAACTGTAGCTGTAAAGTATATTTCAATACTTATCAAAATAGTTACTAACATTCTTAGGTATTATATTTACATGCTACCAATAACAGGAGAAAATGCTGTATCTTTTTGGATTAAAAATGACAACCTCCCATTTGTTCAAGTACCAATAGTTGCAGGACAGTATTGTCATAAAAATAATGCCACTCTAACTATCACTTATTCAGCACTGTTTTTATTGGAATTACAGAAAATCTAACCAAAATATAAAACTACCATGGCAAGAGAAGTACTGTATGTGTCTTTGACTTTAACAAAAATAAACTCCTTGCCCTACAAGAGCCAAGATACTTTTAACACTCACGCCTACAGTCTCCCCGGAGGCCCGTGCCATAGTATCCTTGGCGGCAGGTGCAGGCATAATGACCTGTGTGGGTACCACAGGTGCAGGTGGCGTAAGCATCACAGCAGTAGTTGCCACCACTGCATAGCTTGTGGCAGGAATGGGAATCCTGTTCCATCAAAACTCCACTGTGTAAGTCTGTGGAGGGCACCGCAGGACAGGGTAAGTTATACAAGACATTGGGAGTTAGCTTTTTTTGTCTTTAGTATGTGTAACTAAGAAAAGAAATACCAAAGACCATGTTACTCTTTTATAAACACATTCAAAGAAAGAGCAGTTAGTCTAATCTATCAGTCATTTATATTTGAGTTGTGTATCATTCTCTTGAGAAGAATCAACAAAGAGTTCTGCTTTTCTGTCAGATGCATCATGCACTTTATCTCCTTTTGCTTACACGTGTGACAGACTACAAAAACCCTCTCGTGTACTCTCCATACATGTGAATCTGTGTTCTTACAATGCCCTGATGCATAAAATTCATGACTAAACCTCCACTCTCTTGTTTAGTATTAGCTTCGAGCAGCAACAACTCATACATTTTATTTACCTTCATGCAGAGCTCTTCTGGCTAGGGCCTCAAACTCCTCGAAGGAGTCCAGGATGTATGAATGCTCCTCCTTTGGAACAGATGCCATGTCGTACAGTTCCTAAAAGATCATGGAAGGCAAGAGAATGTAAGAAAACTTCTCATCACATCATAAAATTTATGTTAATTATCTGGTTATGTTTATTGGTACTTCTCCATTCTTCCTCCTCTATATGCTCAACCTTTCTCCCTTCCACACCTCTTGCTATTTACTACTACCCCCTTCCCCCTTCACTTGTTCCTCCTCCTGAACCACCTTCCTTAGTCTACTGCCCCCCTCACCTTATCACCTCTAGTGACCTAGTCCATTGATACAGTACGTACTGTATTTAAACCGGAGTCTGCTTACTAATTCTCTCCTTTCCCCCATCCCCAACATTACCCCTTCCCACAACCAACCATCCACTGTATTTCCAAATCTTACCCCATCCACTGCCCCTCCCACCAAATATACCTCCCCATCACCCCTCCTCCTATCTACCGACCTTCACATTGCCGTTGCGGATGCCAAAGGTGAAGATCCTGACTCCCTGGGCCTGGAGGAAGGCGGCAGCAGGTCTGGGGTCACCACCGTTGCTATAGCCGTCAGTCACCAGAAAAACAGCCTTCACGGCATTCGGTCGAGCCAGTGCTATAACGCTCTGTCAAAATGAGAGACTGGGAGTTACGTGGGTTACTGTACTGTGGTGTTACACGGAGTACTGTACAAGGAGCAGTCTGACATTTTACAGTGTAGAGTATATAGCAGTTTTATACAGGGAGGATTTTTATGTCATAGAGAATGGTGATATAGAGGGAGAACTGTGTTATAGCAGGTATTGTGGTGCAGTACTGGTGTGATCACTGTGGTGTTAAAGGGAGCATTGTGGTGTTACAAGGAGCAGAGCAATAGTGCATGGAGCACTGTGCTGATATATGGAGAATTGCAGTGATAGGTGAAGCACTGTGATGAAATAGGGAGCACTGTGGCGATACATGGAGCACTATCAGTAATACATGTAACACTATTAGATACATGGAGCACTATTAGTGATACATGGAGCACTATCAGTAATACACAGAGCACTATTAGTGATACATGGAGCACTATCAGTAATACACAGAGCACTATCAGTGATACATGGAGCACTATCAGTAATACATGGAGCACTATTAGTGATACATGGAGCACTATTAGTGATACATGGAGCACTATCAGTAATACACAGAGCACTATCAGTGATACATGGAGCACTATCAGTAATACATGTAACACTATTAGATACATGGAGCACTATCAGTAATACATGGAGCACTATCAGTAATACATGGAGCACTATTAGTGATACATGGAGCACTATTAGTGATACATGGAGCACTATTAGTGATACATGGAGCACTATTAGTGATACATGGAGCACTATCAGTGATACATGGAGCACTATCAGTAATACACAGAGCACTATCAGTGATACATGGAGCACTATCAGTAATACATGGAGCACTATCAGTAATACACAGAGCACTATCAGTGATACATGGAGCACTATCAGTGATACATGGAGCACTATCAGTAATACATGGAGCACTATCAGTAATACATGGAGCACTATTAGTGATACATGGAGCACTATTAGTGATACATGGAGCACTATTAGTGATACATGGAGCACTATCAGTGATACATGGAGCACTATCAGTGATACATGGAGCACTATCAGTGATACATGGAGCACTATCAGTAATACACAGAGCACTATCAGTGATACATGGAGCACTATCAGTAATACACAGAGCACTATCAGTGATACATGGAGCACTATCAGTAATACATGGAGCACTATCAGTGATACATGGAGCACTATCAGTAATACACAGAGCACTATCAGTGATACATGGAGCACTATCAGTAATACACAGAGCACTATCAGTAATACACAGAGCACTATCAGTAATACACAGAGCACTATCAGTAATACACAGAGCACTATCAGTAATACATGGAGCACTATCAGTAATACACAGAGCACTATCAGTGATACATGGAGCACTATCAGTAATACATGGAACACTATCAGTAATACACAGAGCACTATCAGTGATACATGGAGCACTATCAGTAATACATGGAACACTATCAGTAATACACAGAGCACTATCAGTGATACATGGAGCACTATCAGTAATACACAGAGCACTATCAGTGATACATGGAGCACTATCAGTAATACATGGAACACTATCAGTAATACACAGAGCACTATCAGTGATACATGGAGCACTATCAGTAATACATGGACACTATCAGTACATGGAGCACTATCAGTAATACACAGAGCACTATCAGTGATACATGGAGCACTATCAGTAATACACAGAGCACTATCAGTAATACACAGAGCACTATCAGTAATACACAGAGCACTATCAGTAATACACAGAGCACTATCAGTAATACATGGAGCACTATCAGTAATACACAGAGCACTATCAGTGATACATGGAGCACTATCAGTAATACATGGAACACTATCAGTAATACACAGAGCACTATCAGTGATACATGGAGCACTATCAGTATCAGTGATACATGGAGCACTATCAGTGATACATGGAGCACTATCAGTAATACATGGAGCACTATCAGAATACACAGAGCACTATCAGTAATACATGGAACACTATCAGTAATACATGGAGCACTATCAGTGATACACAGAGCACTATCAGTAATACATGGAGCACTATCAGTAATACACAGAGCACTATCAGTGATACATGGAGCACTATCAGTATACATGGAGCATATCAGATACACAGAGCACTATCAGTGATACATGGAGCACTATCAGTAATACATGGAGCACTATCAGTAATACACAGAGCACTATCAGTGATACATGGAGCACTATCAGTAATACACAGAGCACTATCAGTAATACACAGAGCACTATCAGTAATACACAGAGCACTATCAGTAATACACAGAGCACTATCGTAATACATGGAGCACTATCAGTAATACACAGAGCACTATCAGTGATACATGGAGCACTATCAGTAATACATGGAACACTATCAGTAATACACAGAGCACTATCAGTGATACATGGAGTTAATATCAGTGATACATGGAGTACCATCAGGAATACACAGAGCACTACAGTGATACAGAGCACTATCAGGATACATGGAGCACTATCAGTAATACATGGAGCACTATCAGTAATACACAGAGCACTATCAGTGATACATGGAGCACTATCAGTAATACATGGAGCACTATCAGTAATACACAGAGCACTATCAGTGATACATGGAGCACTATCAGTAATACACAGAGCACTATCAGTAATACACAGAGCACTATCAGTAATACACAGAGCACTATCAGTAATACACAGAGCACTATCAGTAATACACAGAGCACTATCAGACTAGCGAGGTCATCTTAAGATTATATCTTGCGCTTGTGAGACCTCACCTGGATTACGCAGTTCAGTTCTGGTCTCCGTATTACAGAATGGATATAGAATCCTTGGAAAGAATTCACAGGAGAATGACAAGACTGATCCCGGGCATTAGGAACCTTGAGTACAGAGACAGGTTAAAGCATCTTAATTTGCACTCCCTTGAGAGACGTAGAGCGAGGGGCGACATGATAGAGGTGCATAAATGGAAGTCAGGGCTGAACAAAGGGGACATAACAAAGGTACTCAAACTATCCAACCAGGAGCGAACTCGTAACAATGGTTTTAAATTAGACAAATTTAGATTTAGGCGTGAAATAGGTAAACACTGGTTTATAAACAGAGTAGTGGATGAATGGAACAAGTTACCAAACATCATCATTAACTTGAATACGTTGGATAGCTTCAAACATAGGGTGGATGCTTATATGAGCAATAGGGGTTGGGTGTAAATGGGACTGTCCAGTATGGAACAATAGGCCTGCTGCAGTTTCCTCCATTCTTATGTTCTTATGTTCTTATCAGAGCACTATTAGTAATACAAAGTACTCTATCGTTTAAGATACTTGGAGCAATATGGCAGCTGCACACCCCCCACCTATAACCCTCCTTACCTGAGCTTCGAGCATGGCGCCTAAGGTGTATGTGCCGCCCCCAGAGTACTTGATCCTGGGCAGTTCTCGCTCTAGCAGAGTACACTTGTGGTTTTCCTCTGACGCCCTGGTCACGTGGTCAATGTGGCGGATCACCTACAAGACGGGTCAAGACATCTCTGAATATTGTTGAGCATTTTTTAAGTCTGGGCATTTTTTTGGTATATTTGTGAATACTGTGAGCATTTTTTAAGTGTGAGAGCATTTTTTAGGATATTTATGAATATTGTGAGCATTTTTAAGTCTGAGCATTTGGGGGGGGGGGGATGTATGAATAGTGTGTTATTTCTGAAGTTTGTGAGCATTTTTTAATCTGAATTTATCTGAAAATAATTGAAACTTTATAAACAATGTAAATACTGAACATCTCATGAAGACTGTGAACACGCATAATCGTTGTACATTGAACACATTCGATCTTCTCTGAACATTTTTAACTTATTTGAACATCAATGAACACTGTAAACATAGTTGAACATGAAGATTGTAAACAAAACTCTGAACCCTGCAAATATTTGAGAATATCTATGAACACTTACATCTTTAAACATCTTTCAACACCATAAAAAACCTTTGAACATTACCTGAACGTTAGCTACTCATAACCGTGAACACCATTGAACACTGAACATTGCTTAATGTCGAGAATATATATAATTGAGCTGGTATTGTCAATATGCATTATCAGTAACAGCCACGCTTGTTTATGGTATGTTTATTGCATTAAATCAAACACATCGACCACATCCCCAGCAGTAAACCATTAATGGAGTCTTCAACTTTCTCCGAAGGTTTTCTTAACTCAAGTTCTTAATCAGAGTACAGTATCAGTTTTCCTTCTCATCTCTCAATATATCCAACTATGTGTGTGTGGATGTCTTTCATCTCATAGGGACGCCATCTGCACAGACGTACTCCAACTGTGAGCGCCTTGTACAGCCATCTGAAGTTCTCTGAGTGAGTGAGTGATTGACGGGTCAGACCCATCATCTAGTTCATCTTGTTCACTAAACCTTATCGTGTATATGAATTTTAAATGACAAGTTACCGTCCACTACCACACCCGTCCCAAAATGACTCAGGTAGTCTGAATCTCTCGCCACTGATAGGCTAACAAGCCGATCAGAGGCGAAGAGGATAAAAGAATATCATGGGTTCGAATCCTGCTTGGCCAGGACACACGTAAGAAGGGCGTGTGATAAGTTATAAAATTATAAATAAAATAAGATAAAAACAGTCAGCTTCCACGAGCATATCACAAAGTATCAGTGTGTGTCCTGGCCCAAGTGAGCTCAAGATTCTAATAAACTGAATTTCTAGCGACCAAATATTCAAGCAAAAACAGCTGGCCCACACTTTGAGTACTGTACTTGAGTGAGTTAGTACGCTCCGTGAAGCTCTCCACGTCGTCCACTTTAAGTGATTTCACCAATCTTAAGACACCAAGTGGATGGGGTCAGACACGCTGATAGTCTAGACACGGATTCTCAAACACTCGTGCATTGGGTTAGGTTACGTTATATTACGTTAGGTTACGTTAGGTTTTAGATTAGGTTACATTGCGTTAGGTTTTAGGTTAGTTTAGGGATAAAATAACATTGAAATTATACCCTGACCTTGCTTAGAATATTACTGCATGCACTATCTCAGATCCAATTAGGAGAAAAACTACTCCTAAGTCTCTTTTTGAGAACCCAGCGTTTAATAAGACATGATGCCCCTCAAGACTCATCGTACTCAAGCAGTTAATTCAATCGTACCCAAGGGCTAATTCGCTATACTCAAGGGAAGGGGGTTACGGTCGTATAGTGAAGAAATTAACATCCCATTTTTACCCCAATTGAACGGATATTAAAAAGAAAAAAATCATTCGGTCACATTAACAACGATACTTGGCCAAGGCTGAAAAAAAATGAATAGAGAGGGATTTCAGGGTGCATTTTACGCATCACTTCTCGTGCGTATAATTATGCGTAAAATATTCTCCTACGCATCAGTAACCTACCTCTCTACCAGCCTAGCACACCTGACACCACTAAACACTATCTAACACCACTAAACACTATCTAACAAACCCCAATATCACATAAACATAAGACACCACACCCTGGCACACCTTAACACTACCTAAACACAACCTAACACAAACTAGCACCACCTAAACATAGCATAGCACCCCTAAACACACCTTAAAAATAACATAGCAAACCCCATTGAACATCACCATCCAGCAACCCACCACCCACCATCCAGCAACCCACCACCCACCATCCAGCAACCCACCACCCACCTTACTCTTGCTGGAAAAGGTAATGACAGCCACTCTAGTCTGGTTGTACGACACAGCGAAGTCGGCGAGCAGCTTCTTGACGAACTTGATCTCGTTGAAGAAGTTCTCGGCGCCGACCGAAGCCGACGAGTCCACCAGAAACACCAGTTCGATCCTCTGGTTGGGCACCTGGGAGGAGGGTAAGTTTGGTTAATTTTATCAATATTAACTTGAGAGAGAGAGAGAGAGAGAGAGAGAGAGAGAGAGAGAGAGAGAGAGAGAGAGAGAGAGAGAGAGAGAGAGAGGAAAAAAAAAATACTAATATTACTAATAATAAAATAATAATGTCAATAACAATTACAATAATAATAATAATATTAACTACTACTACTACTACTAATAATAATAATTGATAGCTCTCTTATTATTATCATAATTATTATAATATTTTTGCCTCCCCCCCCCAGGCCCTGATGTGGGTCAGTGACCTGTGCCCAGGTGGGCTAATCCGCGTGCCCAATAAACTAGCCCCCCTCGCGGGGCAAATACTAATTCTAAAATTCTCGTAAAAAAAAAAAAATAATAATAATAATTGGGTTTAGTGGTTACAGTAGTTCACGATCCTCTAGTCATATGCGTAAAATCGTGAAAAGTCAAATACAGTACGGCGATTACAGAAGGTCCTTACAAGATTATTCGGTGTAGTACAGAAATAGTCTCTGTAAACTCTTTTATCATAATAATTCACTGTAGGTGTTCCCTTGTATCTGTAACTGTACCCATAACGTTTGTTTCTGTATTAAATTAAACGGAAGGAATAATATCCATGTAATTTAAATCCAAAAAAACAACACCTTCCCCGCCTCACTTACGACCCCTGTCCGCGAGATTTGTAATTACAGTATCAGGGACAAGGGTAGGGCGGTGGGGTTTCTCCAAGCATTTTCCTCAGCCCTGATTATCTTACACTATTTCCTGAAGTTATAATTAGCCGTAATACATTATAACGCATGGAGTTGTGTTACGAAGAAAAAACTACCCCAACACGATGCTTTTGTTGACTGTGAGGGTTTCATATGTGAGACAGATACACACAAACATGCACGCACACACGTTCACTCACACACATATCATCCACCCCCTCCTACACACACTACACATATACCCAAACAGACACTTACACACAAAACACACACACACACACACACACCCACACAGTCACTTGCCTCTGCCTGGGGTGGGAAGGTTTAAGTTCGGTAAAGTTAAATTAAGTTGGTTTACATTAGGTTAAATTAAGGTTCGTTTAAGTTAGATCAGAGTTTTCATGGTTTAATCTTCAGGTAAAATAATATCTGCGGTGTGTAATAATCTTCAGGTGTTCCCAATACATTTATAAATACAAAATTGCCGTAGTAATCTATAAGGAAATAATATACAGTACACAGTTTAGGAGTGAAACTTGACACTGCTGCCTAAACTGTAATTACCACCACTTCCCTCTGTTGCTGCTGACACACTGAATCGCTAACATATATACAATACTGTAACTTCACTGTATGCGCACATCTTTAGGTGACGCGCAGTTATAAACATGTGATTGGAACTGAAAGATACAGCCTCGCACTATCCTACCGTTAGATAGATAGATAGATAGATAGATAGATAGATAGATAGATAGATAGATAAAGCTAATTATACGGAGCTTAATTGTTGGTGGATCTTGTCACAGATATTCAAGAACAGTTATGGGGTGTACGACGCCATTTACGATGACCTTCTTGCCCTGATCTTTTTTCAGCAATATCGCCTTTAACACATGGAATTCTGCACTTTTCGAAGCTTTGGAGGAGTCTCGAAGCAAGTTTCCTGGTGGGAATTATTAGTTAGTGCTGTACTCAAAATATCGAAACTTCGAGATCTCTCTAGAGCTTCGAAAAGGTGGTATTCCTGAAACAAAATCAGGGCAAGGTAATCGTAAATGGCGTCGTACACCCCATGAATTATCTCTCTTTGAAATTGAAGCGGTTTTTATACTGAGTTTTAGATCCTAACCTTTCATCACCACCTAAAGTATAGATTTTGTTATTACGTGAAAATTTGGCACCTTAGTTTATTTCACCTTAAAAGATTAACCACCCTAACACTACCCTACCCTACCCCCACCCATGTAACGTTAAGGAGTTTATCATCCTGCGAAATAAGCTAGGGTGCGATAGGTAATTTTTATATGAATATTTTTTTCAGTGTGTGAGTGAGAGAAGTGTGTGTGTGTGTGTGTGTGTGTGTGTGTGTGTGTGTGTGTGTGTGCCCTGGACAGTAGGTGTCAGGTTCGGGCATAATGGCAAGGGCAGGAAGGGAGATTCCGGGAACTTTCTTCAGGGTGAGAGAACAATACTCCCTTGTTTTGTTTTCCCCCACAGGACAGATGAGTCTTTGTTTAAATTTCTGCTGTTTATGTTTTACGTTATTCTTGTTTATTTTTTTACATTTTAGGTGGAGGGAAAGTTAATATATACGGAAATATAGATATTCATTAGACTATCAGAGAGAGAGATTTAGATTGACTATACAACGCCTGACACGACACCACCGCGCGAAAAAAAAAACAGTGAAACTTTTAATATACAGTATTTGTGTAATAATGGATCATATTAGGGATTCCAATGTAATAACATATTCCTTTGGGAACTATGTGAGAGCAGGGGATAACAAAGTATTTTAAACGATCAAAAATAGAAAGCATTGGTCTCATATTAACTTTTAACCCAGTGACTTCTCTAGAAAAATATTCTGTACGAGGAGTCACCATTAAAAGATTCACTGTCGACGTGGCTAATATATTTTGGGGAAGAGAAACTAAATATTAAGATCAGAAGATACAGGCATAACGTCATCGTCCAGTATACTCGTTTAGACTAACCGAAATGATATATAAATTAATACACATATTATTTGAATCCCTGACATGACCCTCAAGTTTTCCCCGGTAACTGGAGATGTGGGAAAGTATCTAGCTGGCTTAGCTCATTTAACCAAGGCTGTAGAGTAACGCCCACGCCCGTCACCAACGCCCATAATCGCCCACGCCCGCCCACCCACCGAGCGACTGGGGTTTCGTCTTTCACGCCCAGTGGATCTTCCGTGAGGCAGTATAAATTTGTCACACAGTCATATATCATAGTATAGCGCCTTGTATTATAACGCCCGTCCCAGCCAGTCATCGTGAGGTTATAATAATAAATTTGTCCACAGATTTGGGTCAGATACATCCACATATCCTAAAGATGTATATACTAGCTTTTGAGAATCCATCTTTCATGTCTCAGCTTATGTAGGGGGAATCGGATGCTGCCGTCTCATATCACCAATTTAACGGGAATTAGAACGTAAGAAATCACAGCCAAAGAAGTTATTAATAAAGTCAAGATAACACCATTCCTATGTCTGTCCCGAACCGCCTATTCTCCAACTATATTACGATATTCAGCCAATCACAGCGCGACCTAAGCTCCTTCCAGCCCTATATTAATTCTCTATATAATCTCCAACTCCCCATCCCCTCTCCAACCCCTCCCGTACCCACATCCCCCACCTACCCAACTCCCCACCCATCCCCTCTCCACCCCTCCCGTACCCACATCCCCACCTACCCAACTCCCATCCCTTCTCCCACCCTTCCTGTACCCACATCCCCACCTACCCAACTCCCCATCCCTTCCCACCCTTCCTGTACCCAATATCCCCACCTACCCAACTCCCCATCCTCTACCCCTCCCGTACCCACATCCCCCACCTACCAACTCCCCACCCATCCCTCCCTCTTTCACCAGATTGCTAATGGAGTATAAAACAAGTTACCGTGTGTGATTGCCTTGCACGCATACATACATACATCAATCCATACACACATACATACATAACACACGCAAAATATAAATAAAACCTTACACACACACACACACACACACACACACACACACACACACACACACACACACACACACACACACACACACACACATAAAACACACATCAACCTCTGACACACACACAAACTTATCTATCACTAACAAAACATTGCACCACGGTAACATTGAGGTCACAGAGGAACAGCTGACTGGTGTAAACATTTCTCCTGCTGCCATCACTAACTGCTTGGGTATATATTCTCTCTCTCTCTCTCTCTCTCTCTCTCTCTCTCTCTCTCTCTCTCTCTCTCACGTTTTTCAATATGATGTTTATTTTAACATTAATATAAGAGATGCCTTAAACATCACTCACGCAACACTTTACTAACCTAACCAAACCTAACCAAACCTAACCTAACCTAACCAAACCTAACCTTCCATCCTTCTGTTACTCTGCATCTAAGTGAGCCACTCAGCAGGTAACGTTATATACTCAGGGAAGAATGGGAGTTTTATGATCGAGATGTCTTTCAAGATATGGTGAAGTTTCTTACTACTGTATTACTATTTTATTTACCATCAGTAGCTATACCGTCACAACAGGCTAGGGTACATAGATAAACACGGTACTATACATAGGAGGAGTTTGTTCAGTTTTAACCCCTTGAGTATGATGACTTTACCTCTTGGCTCTGATGATTTAGCCCCTCCAGTATGATGATTTGGCCCCTTGAGTATGATCAGTTATCCCCTTGAGTACGATGACTTAGCCCCCTCAGTACGATGAATTAACCCCTTGAGTACGATGACTTAACCCCTTGACTACGATAACTTAAGCCCAGGAATATACGAGTACAATAATCATCATACTCAAGGGATTAATAATAATAACATCAAGAAAAACATTGTCGACGGTAGTTCAGAGCTTTTCATATTCAAGGGCTAATTTATTGAACATCCCCGGGAATCATGTTTCAGGCGAGGCGCAGAAGCAAAAGCCCCAATAGCAAAGCATACACGCAGTTGATGCTGGCTTTCTTAGATGGTGAAGGAGTGAGAGGTTCCTGAGGGGCCCCTAGGTTATGTTAGCAAGTTATATACATGTAACGAAGGAAGGGTTATAAGTGTACAGTCGCCTGCACTTACACCTGGTACAGTGGTTGGTGCATTTTGTGAGATATGGCGACTCTTTAGAATGCTTACCAGGCATCCTTAGTCTGGCTATACTCTTGTGAGGTTCCTTAGGGGCATTCTGGGAATTTTAATATGATGTATACAAAG